TACACCTATTACTACTAACTTTACTATTAAGACTTTATATTATAAAATACCTTTTTTTATTACCTACTAGACTACTAGCCCCTATTACTCTCTCTATTACACTTATTACCTTTATTAACTTTACTATCCCTACTATTAATAATAACTATCTTATTACTACCCTCTTTACCTATAAGTAAATAGTCTATATTACTAGTAGTACTAACCCTCTTCTTAGCTATAAAGTTTTATACTACTATTACTACCCTTTGCTAAAGGATAATACTAATCTAGAACTAGGAGGATATAGTCTAATAGGAGAGTAAATAGGCAAAGGATATATAAAACCTCTAGCTAGTAGTAAAATACTCTAAGCTACTGCTACTAACACTATTGCTAGTGTATACCTAACCAACGGCCTAACGCAGCCCTAAGTCATATGCCTAGCTACGCCTTTAGAAGCTATATTAAATACACCCTAGATTTAGAGGAGGTTACCTACCTAGAGGTAAACCTATCTATTAGCGCCTTTAAGAACAGAAGGAGGAAATCTAGTCCCTTTAACGCTAAGTCTACTAGCTACTACTACTACTACTACCTTATAAAGCTGCCTAGTACTATAGTTAAGATACCCTAGATAAAGATAATAAAGAAGATAAAGATAATAAAGATAATAATACTACTAGTTATACTATAGAAACAGGTCCCTAGGATAATAATAATAGATCTATTTACATAGGGGATTATTACTATAACTTTAATAAATCTAACAGCTAGCTAGTAGCTAACAGCTAGCCTACTTCTAGCTAACTTGCCTATAGTTAACTAGTATCTAGCTAACTTACCTATAGTTAACTAGCATTTAGCTAACTCTCCTATTATTAGCTAGTATATAACTATTAACACTACTAGCCTACGTATATAACTAACTAACCTATATATTAATAACCTATATATACGCTTAGCTAGCTAGCTTATAGTTAACTAGCCTAAGGTCTATACCTATACTTATATACGCCTAGCTAGCTAACTTACAGCTAGCCTACGTATATACCTAACTAACTAGGGTACTAACCTAACTACTATTAACCTAACTACCTAGCTAGTAATAATAACTAAGATTACAGTAGTAATAATAATAGTAACACTATTAAAAATAACACTAATAAATATAAGGACTTTAATAACTATAGGGATAAATACAGTAATAATAAATATAGTAATAGTTATAGTAATAATAATAACTATAACAAGGACTATTAACCCTTAGGTATACCCTTTCTACAACAGCTACAACAGCCTTATAGAAGCCTAAGGCACACAGTTAACTGCCCTATTAGCTAGCAATATTAAATAATTGCTATATAATAATTATTTCTATTATTAGGGGGGCACTTATCATAGGACAATATACAGCTAACCTTTAGATCTACTTTCTTAGCCTTGCCAGTGGATCCATCAGTCAGGCCAATATCCTGCCGACAGCTGGTGCCCTACTAGGCCCTACCTGTCGCTAGTCTATAAGACTAGCCTTTGCTAGCTGTAGCTCTAGCTCTTAGATAGTTATTAAATCTATTACCTATTTAACTATATTAAATTTATTATTTATAAATATAATTAAATTACTTTAGGAGTAGTATTACTATTTAGGTACACCTATAGACCTTCTTAGTATTATTAAATTAAGTATATATATAGTTAATATATAGTAATAAGATAATAGCTTTACTTATAGTCTCTAGGCAGTAGAGTAGACTAGAACCTTTCTTTACCTAGGTATATTATCTTCTAAATTCTTAGAGATAGGTTAATTTAACAAGAACTATATAAAACCTAGATAGGTCCTTATTACTTTATAAGTTATATCTATTATTTTAAGGGACTTTTATAAGTATAATAATATATATAGAAACTTTCTTTTATATATTATTATACACTTAAAAAATAACTTTTATAAAAACCCTTTTTTTTAATAGTGCTTATAGTAGTATAAATAGGTTAAGTAAGTCTAGTTAATAATTTATAGACCTAAACTAGGAATAATAAAAAGGATTCTTTATTATTAGATATACTACCTAGTCTTCTAGATAATAAGGATCTTAAGGCTTAAGTATAAAACCTTAAAGTTAATAAAAGCCTAATTATCCTTTATTACCTACTGTATTTAGCTTTATAAAGTAACCTAGATATATACTATTACTCTTAAGAATCTTTTATAAACTAGTATATTAACTAATAAAAATAAACTAAGGCTAATACCCTTAATTATATATATTATTATAATTTTTTATATTTATTTTCCTAAGAAAGTTAGTTCTAACTATATTAAGGACTTAAATAAGACTAAGTTAATAAAAAGACTTTATAGACTTCTTATAGTATAAAAGGTTATAAACTTAGATATAGTAATATTATTATAAAGGTAAAAGTAAAAAAAAGCCTTAAGCTACTAAAGTAACTTAAGCGCTACTATAAGTACTAAACTATTTCTTCTTTTTCTTTCTTTTATTTCTTTAGGTTCTTTCTTTAGTTCTTAGGTCTAAGAATTAGTTAGACTTTTTACTTAAGGTTAAGGTAATAGGTCTAAGGGGATAATTATAATAGGGTTAGGTAGTATAGTCTTAAGAATTATATAGTAGTTAACTTAAGGAATAGATTAATAAGAAGGCTATCTACCTATTAAAAAAGGGATTTATAGACCTAAGAAGGGGTTAAGAGGGATATATTCCCTTATATATAATTATTTTTTATATATAGTTATTATTATTAGCCTTAATACTTTATATAGAAATATACTACTAGTTATTACTATACTTTTATTTATTTAAGGAAATTTACTCTTTTTGTAATTACTTTATTAATTTATACTTTTATTTTAGTATCTTTATAGATTAGGTCTAAGAATTAGTAGACTTATTAATTAGTATATATATTATTATTATTAGACGTTATTATAGTGTAGGTGGTTTTCCTATGTTTTACTATTCCTCTTTTCCTTTGTTAGGTGGCCTAGATGCCCTGCCCTTTCTTAATATACTATCTATAGAGGATATAGTAACCTATACTATACTAGACTAACTAAGCTAAACTAAGTAAAACTAAGTAAAACTAAGTAAAACTAAGGTAGACTAAGTTAGACTAAGGTAGACTAAGGTAAACTAAGCTAAGCTAAGCTAGACTTAATAGCTAGAAAATATATTACTAATGTAAATATAGGTAGTAAATATAATAATTCTACTAGTAAAGTTATATTTAATACTATATTACTATAATAGCTATATATAATTATTAGTATTATATTAGCTACTACTTTAGTTAGTAGTTATATTTAGGAAGTAAGGTTTAGTAGATAGTTAAAGTATTAATTATAAACTATAACACTAATTAAAGCCTATTAATAAGTAAATATAGGTATTACTAATATTAGTTAAATATTAACCTAGAATAAAGACTACTTATCTAGTTATATTACTCTAATAATAGCCTTTTATAGCTTTATAGCTAAGATAAATAATTAGGCTTCTAACGTAAGAACTTATCCTAGGTAGCTTTAGAGACTTTAGACTATAATGTATAGTATAATTAAAGAAAAAAAGGCTATATACTATCTAATTAGAAGAAGTCTTAGGGAGTATATCCCTTAATAAAGGCTAGCGCTAGTGTATAGTGTACTCTTCTTAGATAAGATAGTATAAAAATACTATAACTATTAATAATATTATCTCTTTATTAGTACTAGTCTTAGAGTATAGTAGTAAGTAAAATAGTAAAAGCTATAATTAAACTTTTTATACTAGGCCTTATAAATAGAATATATTTACTATAGTAGGCTTAGGAAAATTATTACCTTATAATTAGTACCTAATGTTTCTAAATACCTAGTTATTAGTTTATTTATATATACTACTATACTTAAGCTTTTTCCTTAGTTTTTACTTTTTATTATAGATTTCTTGTCTAGTATTCTTATACACTTTAGCGCTAAAAGGTAGTTATTAAAAGGCTATTATTAATCTTTAGATTATAGGATAAGTCATAATAAATATAGATTACTTCTATAGAAGGTTAGTTAGTTAACGCCCTTATAAGGACTACCTTTTAGATATTTTACTAAAATAACACTTATATACTAGAAATAAAATCTTATAATAGTTCTTTAGTAAGTACTAGCTAAAGTAACTAAGTATAAGTATATTTATTCTCTTTTTTACTATATAGCTTCTACTATAATATATCTTATTAAAACTTTATAAAATAAATAAGCCTCTTTAAAGACTAGGTAATTTTAAAGTAAGCTTTTAGAACCTATATATATCTACTAATTAGTTTAAAGTAGTTAAAAAAACAAAGTAAAGTAAATACTAGTAATATAAAAAGTAATTAATATTATATAACTATTTAAATATAAGTAGTAGCTAAGGTCTTACCTATAGTTATACTCTCTTTATATTATAGTAAATATAAGACTTATAAACTAGCTTTTTAAAAGTCCTTTATATAAGAACTTAAGTTATAAAATATATTTAGAGTAGTTACTAGTGCTACTACTATAGGATTACACTAGTCTATCTTTATCTTTTTAGTAATTCTAACTTATATAGATTACTTTAGCTTTACCTAAGCCTTACCTTGGCCTTACCCTAACATTACCCTGGCCTTACCCTGGCCTCACCCTGGCCTCACCTATGTTCTTGTGTAAGGTGAGCTAAAGCTGCAAGAATCACCCAGCTCACCCTATTGGCTAGAGGGTAATGACCTAAAGAAGCTCCAAACGCAGATTCTGCGCAATGGCTTTCGCGCGGCTTGTTGTCTTAGGTACAATAGTCTGGAGTAATTTAAGCCTATAACTAGCTCATTGGCTGTGACTGGGTTAATGTTGTTGGGTAACTCATCATTGACGAATCAGACATCAGCACGTCGTGCGGGTGGCCTCAGCATTCATGCCCCGGCCTCAGCGAAATAACTTTATTATGGGCCGTGTCTCCCCACCACGAAGCTTGTAGGGTCCATGTATGCAGGATGTAGCTTGTTTTGCCTGGGTAGAGCTCCCATCGCAGCCGGGTGGGCGAACTTTGTTGTTTCATCCCCCCCTGCCTGGGATAAGCTTTGGGGGGGAGTGGGACAATAATAAAGCTACCAGCTGCAAATTTCCTTTGGACAACTGATATTCTTCTGATCGCATCCTTCTTCGCAAATCCGGTCAACTCTTAATACCCCAGACCTGCATCTGCCTGCTGCACAGAAAGACAATAGCGACGCCAAAAGATACCACACGGATCGAGCTCGACGATTTTGCGTTCGAGGTGCGACCAATTCGTCATCGACATCACTAGCTCGGAGAGACCTGCGGCACGAAGACTGCCCGGTACGATGGCTTCGCATCGAGCAATTGTCAAGGCCTCGGCCGTAGTGCCGGGAATTTACCAGTTCATTTTTACCATCGAACCCATTTTGGCTATCCTCGGCGCCGTCATGGTCTTGCACGCACCGCACCAGTATCTCGCAGGAATGACGCGCAACGCGATGCCGTACACGCCCGACACGCGATTCCTCTACACACAAGTGGGCGGCGGGTGGCTCTTTATTGCCTTCGTCGAGGGCGTGGTCCTGCGGCTCTTCGACGATCTGAGCTTGTGGCGCGTCATCTGTGCGGGAATGCTCCTGAGCGACGCCGCTTATGCTCATGGCACCGCGCAGGCTGTCGGCGGATGGGGGATATGGTTGGATAGGTCTCTGTGGACGGTGGAGGACTACGTTGTCTTCTGGACGACGGCTCCAATGCTAGTCGTGCGATGCCTGCTCGTGCTTGGGATCGGGATTAGGATACCGAAGGAAGGCGATGCCAAGCAGGGTGAGAAACAAGCGAAGTAAAGAAACGGTTGCGTCAATGCTCTCGAGGAGATGGATGCTCTGAATCTTACCAAGTCACATACAGATATCCCTAAAACAGCCCGAGGTAGTCAGCTGAGATTCGCAAGCGCAGTAAAGCTCCTGTAAATTAACTTCGGAAATTGGACATTAGTTAACATCTGTAGTTGGCCGCGGATGTTCGAGTTGCAAAACAATAGTGTGACGTCACCTGTCATGCATTAACTTTCTTGTCAGACGAAAGACCCGTCGCTTTGACCTCAACGTTAATGCTCCCCACGAACCTATCGTCAGGAGGGGAATGAGAAACAGTACACTGAAGCCATCGGTTTTATAAATGCTTAGATGCGAATATTAGCAATCAAAACAGTAGATAACTTTGCCATCTCACCCAATCACTTCATCCTCCCCATGATATTGGATGATGCATGGAGTAGTTGCAAAACACAACTCATAGCGTTGTTTTAAAATAGCACAAGTAACTGGTGCTATGGCTTCCCAATCATGATTATCAGCAATTCTTTTGCTCTTTCGACCAAACTTATTCGTTTGTGGCTTGAGAAATACCCAGAGATTCACGACGCCCCTTGCTGTTGGGGTCCAGGTAAGGTGCCTCGCCGGTACCCACTGCTCGGTTGCCAAACCTCTCGGCTTGGTCATCGTAGTCAAAGGTCGCAGTATGCAAGGTGCTGCGGTTGTCCCAGACGGCTGCAGGTTTTGATTAGCATCCTCTATTCGCCACAAGTCCACAGGCCATCCACTTACCAATGTCGTTGGCATTTTGCCACCTGAAACGGACCTGAATCTCGTGATTCTTCTGCAAAAGATCCAATAACCAGTCAAGAAGGTGTTTGCTTTCCTCTGGAGTGACGTCGTTGACGTGCTTCACGTGGCCGCCGACTGGGTAGACGCTCTTCCATCCGGTGACCGGATTGGTCCGTACAACGGGGTGTACAGCCTTGAGGATACTACCGATGTTCTTCGGGTTGCCGCGGGGCTTGTCATATAAAGTGAACCCGGACTGCTCGGCGGCGGCGGCAAAACCAGGTTGTTCAAAGGTGGCGGTAAGGCTTTCCAGGAATTTCTGGTAAGGCGTGCTAAGGCGGTCGTAGATTTCGTAACCAGACGCCCAGAGGGTGTCTCCTAAGCGTCAACTGATTGTCCTATAACTGCCTTGGTTGTTTCGGTTCGACTTACCACCACCCGTCTTCGGCAGTTGAACGAGGCGCAGCGATGAGTAGTCGGCCGGCACAGGCTCAAACGCGATATCGCTATGCCACTGTGCAGTAGTCTGCTTCTTGGAGCTAACCCCCTCGCGCTCCAGAAACTTGCGGAAGTACTTCTTATTCTGCAAGGAGCTGATGGTGCTGATCTCCGGGTCAGATCCGCCTAACTCGCGGTCCGAGTTGAGGACCGGGTGAATGTGGAGTCCCGACTCGGCAGGCCGACCGCTTAGCTCTCCGAGTCGGAGAATCAATTGCTTTTGCAACTCATTTGTGATGTTGTCCTGCGCTCGGAAGAAGACAACGCCCCGTTGAGAGACTGATGCTTCATTAGCTGCCATACCCATGTAATTACTTCTTTTCTTGTCTCACTGGCAATGGCAAGATCTCTTATCAATTCGTCGGCATTGGCGGCATTAAGCCACTCAACTAGATTTGCTTTGGGAAATTCACGCCCAATGATTGGTGTGACATCGAATGACTCGTATTGGTCAAGAATTGAGGATGTATTTAGTGGTTGGGGATAAGAAGAAACTTTGGTGCGGATACAGGATGATCCTCTCATGAACCAACCATAACTCTCGTCTTGCATAATTTGAGCAATTATTGAATTCGTGGCAACGATTTCGGACTGTAACCTTCCTATCAGTTAATGCAAGTATTCTGCATTTGCTAACCCGGCTTTCTGATGTTGGGTCCATATTATCTCGATTGACATTGGCATTTGATTACTTCTGGCATTACATAATCGTAACTCAGCAGGCTAACGCTACGAGACTCAAGTTGAATGTTGATAAGGCTCCTAAAGTGGTGCCATGCGTCAGAGTAAAGGACGATGACGATTAAGGTCGTGGCCAAGCCGGATGAAGTGGCAGCACGCCCTCTTTCAGGTCCGCCTGCTCCACCCAATCACTCTCCTCAATGTTGTTGCTTTCAAGCCAGCATAATGATGCCTTGGATAAGAACGTTCGGATTTGATGGTATGGCTCCTTAAGATTTTCAGCTTGCAAGGCCTGCGAACGCTAGATAGTATGGGAATTGCCCTTGTAGTTCTCTTGGCGAGCTGGGCTCATAAATCTGGCGAAGAAAGTAGGCCATATATATACAGATTTTTGTTTTTGAAAGCATATGAAGATGAGGCTACTCATAGCCATAATAAGTCGGCCTACGTGTGCACGACCCCGGCACATCAACGCCCCTGGACGTGATTTGGTGGAACTAAGTCGTCATCGCCGTACAGTATAATAAGCTTGTAGTGTCACTCCGATAGTGAAAGATCCCTATGATATTCGAGCTCGAGCGACGCTCGCCAACCCAGTTACTTAACATGAGGTTGTGTAAGAAGTGACAGCCACGTCCGGCTCCAAGGAGAAACCTTACCTCCTCACTGTCCAGATTCAACCCTACCATCCTGGCGTCGCAGTATTTGGCTGTAAACCATGACAACCGTGCTGGCAAAAGACCCTGTGAGTAAGGGCGATTATGGACAAACAGTGATCTCGCTGGATGGCGCACCCCCTCTGGGGGCACCCATTGAAGAAAAGCGATTTTGGTTTCAACGCGATAAGTCCTACGACCCGTCTGCGATCGCCATCCAGATAAAAGGTGTCACAAACATCATGTGTTTATCGTGGGCTGATGATTCTAAGCCAAGTGTTTTCGATGACCCGGGTTCCGCCCAGCAATATCATCCACGACCTGACTGGCAAGTCACTCCTATGGAATCGTATAGACATACAAAGGGATCTAACATGAAAGACTCCAGGGAGAACTATCACCGGTTTGATCCACTGGCTAGATGGACCTGGACAGAAGAGTATGCCATAGGTATGAGACCACGTCCGTAACATAACATTGATTCTGCAGCAAATCTTAACATAACAACTAGTGCGCAAGATTGATTTCAGGATCATGATCTGGGCCTGCATCAGTTGAGTCACCACCGTCATTGAAGTGAGATTGTTCAGGCCGTTATTGACGATTCTGGTTAGTGTTTATGGCACTTGAACTTGACCGCGCCAATATCAGCCAAGGCACGTAACTTCCACTTCCGCGGCAAGGGACCTTGGAAATCTAATATTGGCATTCTGCAGCGAACACGGATAACATGTTAGGAGATTTGGGCATGACAACCGACGGTCCGTACCCCAGCTTCGGATGGCCCCTCCACGAGGCTAAATAATCATTCAGACTTCAATCTTGGCAATACCGTCTTTCAGCTTGCATTTCTCTGTTCTGAACTTCCATCTCAGCTAGTCTCCAAGTGGGCTGGTTGGACCAGACCGCTGGATCCCAACACAGATAGTGTTGTGGAGCATCGTCGCCAGATGCCAATTTTGGCTGAGCGGAAGAGATTCCTTCCTTACTTGCCGAGCACTATTGGTTTTATTACAGGGTGGTTTCATACCTGATATAGGAAAGAAAACTCTACGGTGTCTGTAATAAAATGCTGACCTGTGTACTCGTCAAGATAACTCTCTATCTTTCTTATTTCTACAAGCACTGCGAGCTTTCCCTTCGGCTTGGACTTTTCTGGACGGCCATGAGTATTGCTGACATTCTGTCAGCGATTTTTTGCCTATGGAATCCTCCCCATGCGTGGTCTGGAAAGGCAAGCTAGATAGAGATGATTATTTCTGGTTAAGGGACTTCTAACACTTGTGATTGACATCTTTGGGTTCATCCTCATGCCGGCAGGGCCTTGCCAGACCGCGAGTTGGTTTCGTGGGGAAAAAGGCTGATTCACAGACAGGTAAGCTTAGGTTTCCGTATGCTACGTCCCCTGAACTGTCGCTGATTGGTATTATAGGCAAGAAACTATCATCGTCAACAGAGTCCTCCGCGAAGACCCCAGCAAGAGCAGCATGCACAACCGCGAGCCCATTACTCCACGCCTCCTTTGGGATAGTATCAAAGACATCTGTGGCCGTTATACGCTCTGGGCTTGACCTTCTAAATACCTACGACGCCCCCGGCTCAGTGCCTGACTCTAACGCTCCGTAACTTGGGTTTCGACGGTTTCCAAGCATACGGTATGCCCAATCACTTTCGGCGGGTCGTAAATACTCAGCAAATGCCGGCTCTGGCTCCCTGGACTAATACTAGGGGAAATCGGGTTTGCGACTGGAGGATGGTAAGTTTCGGGGATTGTGATAAGTATCGGAGAATTGCGACGGGTTTGAAATGTCTATTTCATGCTCTTCATTATTTTTCGACTGCGCTATCACCAGGTCTGTTGTGTTCCGCTGCTACTTTTGGGTCTGATGGGTACATGTACTTCCTTCGTCTCATTCCGTGTCCGATGGGCCTCCGTTTCCACAGCCAGATTCATAAAGGAGCCCGCACATAACATCTCGGTTCGAGTGCCGGCATGACAGTAATGCTAGATGAAGTTTTAGAGCTGAGGAATACCCCGATATTGGCAGGCCGATACTTCTCGGTGTCAGGGCCCAACTTATGGGGCTAACCAAATGTATTGAATTCCTATCAGCCTCCCTAATATCTGCTCCCTTCGGTAAATTATTCGCTAGTCATCATTGCTACATTGATGATACATGCTAGGCTAGCTTTGCAAAGACTTTCTTTTTCAAGGAACCATCCGTCTGCCGTGTGCATGGTTAATACACGAGTGACAAGTGAAACGGAATCGATTAAAACTCTCCTGGGGCCGCTTGCTTTTTTAGCTATGCCACCACCACCTCAGTACGGGGAGATGCAGTTTGCCGCGGTCACAACTAGGCCTCGCAAGTAAAGATGTATATATAGCGGAGGCCATTGGGTGGGCATGCGCATCTGCGCTGCAGGAGGATCAGACACGCGTGTGCGTGCCGTCCTGACCTATCAACGAGAGCCTCGACCCATCGGCGGATATATGACACAGTATCCGTAGGCTCGTCAGTTTTCCACGCTCGTCTGCTTGAGGCATTTCTGCAAGGTTGCCCTTTTGAGAGCTGCAAAACGTGCGGGCGCGACAGTCTCCTACAGACCTGGTCGACATGGACGGGGCAAGCTGAGCCATATTGATGACTGGCCAGATGGAGGTGCACACGTGCGCAAGAGAAACAGGGCTAGTATTAATAAGGGGGCTTTGGGCGTTTCCCGATCCAACCTGGCAACCGGGCACCTGGTAAAAGGTTGCAGCGCCGTTGACGGCCCAGATGAGGTCCGATGAGCGCTACCTGATGAATCGGGATCTGATGTGTGCCACGCCGCTCCTCCTGCAAGGTAGGGCGGCAAGCAAGGCAGACATTGGTTCATGGGACGATCACCCTCTTCCCCCCCACTACCCATCAGCCCATAAACCCTAGCAGCACCAGCACCGGGTGGAGCTTCTCGGCGAGAGAGATGAAGAGACTACTAGTGTAGTTAACTAGTGTGACTATCGACCGGCGTGGTCTCGAACTTTCAATCCGAATGAGGGGTCGTGGGGTCATCCAATGTCTGGCCGCCTTCGTCGCTGCAACCAGACAACGGCTTTAGTAGTATGCATGCGCATCTGCCGCGACAACCCAGCTCCACGAGGTAATTACCGTTCTTGGATATTGCGAAGCCGGTGGCGCTTTTCCGCGAACTAGCCCACCCGTGTAGCATCATGTCTTAGGACGGCAAGCCGTGGCCATCGCTGTCATGGTCGTGCTATAACACCAGCTTGTCGATGCTTTATTCGCCCAACTCCGCCTCTCAACTCATTTTTCCTACTGCTTTATCTGCCTTTCTGATAATCAGCCTCATTGCTGTTTCAACGACTTCCCGTACCAAGTCTGAAGCCGTTAGCACTGCACGCTCGCCGCCCGGGAACGTCACTTGAGTAGGGCCTTCTGCTTACCACGAGCCCCGCCCCCGTACGCCTGACTCAGATAGACTTTGGCATTTAATCAAACACCCGATCGCCCGGTTCAAGGTTTATCAAGGTTGGAGGAGTCTTACCTAGATAAAGACGCTCTGTCGCAATCACAACAGAGGAGCGACATTCCCTCTTTTGCCGCTATTCCGTCTTTACGTCAGCCAGTCACTCCTTGGAACAATTGACCCCTCGCGGTCTCTATGCTTTGTGGTTTGCGGCTTCCAATAGACATCCTTGCACACTGCATGCGCTTCTACTAAACTACAACGAATCGCGACGATGAGCACGGGAGACAAGCCTAGAAGTCGAAGCGGAAGTCGTCCGGTCAGCCCTCAAGGGGACAGTGCAGGCGGTGAGCCAAACCTTATTCTCACCAGAGCGACCCTGTCATACGAAGGTTCCTGGGGGCCCCTCCTATGGTGGCATGACTTGGTAGTTCCGAATCTTGAAGCAAGCTATACGTACTGACGGTGATGCCACAGTCCCTAGAATCGCCTCACCGACGACCGGCAGTTCCAGCACCGAGCAGACGCCCGTAGCGACAGCTGATGCAGAAGCGACAACGACATCAACGGAACAAGTCGCTCAGGCGGCCCCGGACCCAGCTCCCGGCATTTACGGCCCTTCCGAAGAGACGCCTGCCGGGGATGCACTTGAAGCCGGGGGTTTCGACGACGAAGGCGAGTTTACGCCGAGCGTTTTTGACGAGGGGTCAATAGCCGACGACAGAACCGATTCGACGTCGCTGAATTCGAGTGTCTACGAGCACAGCTTCCGGAACGGCAGACGATACCATAAGTTCCGACACGGACGATACCCAATCCCCAATGACGAGACCGAACAGAACCGCGAGGACATGCTGCACGCGATGATGCTAGAGGTCACGGACGGGCGGCTATACTTTGCTCCAATTAGCGACAACCCGCAGAAGATCATTGACCTGGGCACCGGTACTGGTATCTGGGCCATTGAGAGTGAGTCCAAGTTCATTGACGTCTGGATATGACGGGTGCTCGCCCCGACGGAAGCTATTGGACCTGCCAGCTAACAAGTGACCGTAGTGGGGGACTTGTTTCCGAGTGCCGAGATCCATGGGCTCGATTTGAGCCCCATCCAGCCCGTCTGGGTGCCGCCGAACGTCAAGTTTTTCGTCGATGACGTTGAAGACACCTGGTTGAACGGCTCGGACTTTGACTTCGTACACCTGCGCAACATGGTGCCAGTGCTGAAGTCGCCCGTCAACCTTTTACGAAATGCATACGAGTAGGGCTTCCCGATCCCCGCCAAGCCCCGGAACTGTACTGACGGTAGACCAAGACACATGAAGCCTGGAGGCTGGGTCGAGCTCCAAGATGTTGATGGACAGGTCCACTGCGACGATGGAACCTTGCCGCCTGACTGGCCCCTCGTCCGCTTCACGAACCACCTCGTCGAGGCCTTTGCAAAGTTTGGGACAAACTCCCACGCTGCGGTCTTTGGACGACAATACCTGGAGGAGGCCGGCTTCGTCAACATCCAACATCGCACGGTGAAGTTGCCTTACGGGACGTGGCCCAAGGATAAGTGAGTGTGACCTCGTAATTACTGAGGAAGATTTCCGGCTGACAGTGCCACCTCTCGCAGAACCATGCGACTGGTTGGCATGTACTACCGCACGGCATGCGAGGAGTTCTTCCCCGCTGTCGGCGCAATTCACTTTGAGATGTTGGGGTGGAGCAAGATCGAGATGGAGGTCTTGTTCGCGCAGTGCCGTAATGCAATGAGGGATCCTAACGTCCACGCCTACGGCATGATGCATTTTTGGAGCGGACAGAAACCTGCTTAAGACAAGATTTACAGCTCGATGGGGGGGAGGCTGGTCTATACCAAGGGGTCCTTGAGACATGGGGGGATCAGGCTGAAGTTAGCTGCCAGCGAGCGATTGCATGATGATCCGCGTCCCTCGGGGTTCGCACTACGAACAGAATTCAGAGCGAGGTTGGTGCTGGTTGGCCGGCACGTCGTCTCCATCATTGTTTGCATAAGCGCTGAGATATTGCTTTTGTGATGAGGGGGGGGGGGAGGGGTGGAAGAATGGTCGAGAGTATAGGTATTTCATCAACACGTACATACAACTTGACGCAACCCAACTTATCATTTTCGGACGTGACTGGTCGTGAGTAGCTAGCCACCTGCATATTTTCCGCTCCGGACCGGGGCACTGACAGGTTCTCAGCTACGAAGGGGCTTGGACTGCATGGCTAGATCATCGAGTGGAGTCCGTATCACGTCCAATGGCTTGATAGACTTCGATAACCGAGAGGCTGCGGATTGGTCTATGAAGGTTATTGCCGAGCATTCCTCCATTCCTGTCTCATAGCGTGCCCTCCACGGACGGCACGTTGAGCCCATCAACGACGGAAAGCCTCACAGCAATGCTGAGACGGGCTCGAGGAACCCACCATGCCGATACCCGGTGTTGCGCGTATCTGCTGCCAGAAACGGAACGGAATGATGAGACCTGGATACTTGGATACAAAGTTTGATACCGGATGCACCGCCACAGCCCGCGGGGCCCCATATTCCCGTCTCGGTCTTTGTTGGGGGGGTGCTCTACCTTTTCTTTCCCAAAACGGCGCATGGGGGCCCCTGACAGCATAGCATCCCGCATCACACTAATACAAAAGATCCTTTCGTATCCTCAGTTAAGATGTTCTTCGTTCAGCCCTTGCTTACAATTATCGATGCGTCCGAAATAGCTCTTTCTCTCTCTTTGTTGTTGGATTTTTGATAGCTGTGTATAACTGCGACATGATTGAGTATGTTAAAGAGGGAGACAAGAAAGCGAATTTGCTTCTATTCAGCTGGACGGCCTTCGCCAATACATTTTGCAGGTCAGGAGAATGTTATCACTACTCAAATCATCATGATGACCAAGAGGTACGGCACGGCACAAGCACCAAGATATCTTTTATATGTTAACCAATCATCGCATGATACATTCGGATAAATACAAAATAAGCATCGTGCCCGATATATGTCTCCGCTGACGTGTATCCTCTATCATTTCCTTTCGCTGCCCAGCCCTACGGCTAGTGCTTACATGGGCCGTTGACAAACACCTGACGTATTACCGTTACCTCTCGTCCGGTGCCAGGACGCAGCGTCCAATAGTGCCATGCAATCAGCGACCTGCTTCCGAGACAAAGCGGAAGTCCTGGCCAGACGCTATTTGTCAATTGAGGGTTTTGTGATATATGGGATAAGAGATGCTGGTGTTCAGGCAGTGTAGTGTTGGCGCAGGATTGATCGACGCCAGCTGAATTCGCTGACGCCAAGCTGGCCAATTAGGTCAAACAACAGTGATCATCGATGGCTGTATCGTTGCTGTCTGGTGTAAGGGGCCATAAAAATACCACCGGAACACTTCGGCGACGCTTTCATATCCCAGGTGTAATAAAAGTCCACTTGAATTCTATATGAATCAAGACCACTGTACATAGTGACGCTATTCAACTTATAAACCACGAAAGAGGACTGCTTTCATTCTAGAACTCATCATGGCGCCTTATATGGAATCTCTCACAGATCTACCTGTAAGTGGAATAACTTACCAGAGCTACAAGATCAAGACTGACGTGCTGTTCGACTCCAAGGCGGATGGCCAACCCATACTGCCGGCCAGCGATGCTCTCAAAGCAGAACCCATTGCCGTGTGCGGCATGGCACTGAGGCTCCCTGGGGGGATCTCAACGCCAGAGCAGTTCTGGCAGTTTCTCGTCGACAAGAAAGATGCACGTGGTCTGATACCTCAAACAAGGTTCAATGCATCCAGCTACTACTCCGAAGCCGCCAAGCCCGGCCACATCAAGACGCAGTACGGCTACTTCCTCGACGAATCCGTCGATCTCGCGGCCCTCGACACGACCTTCTTCAGGATGCCCAAGAGCGAGGTGGAACGCGCCGACCCACAGCAGCGGTTGCTCCTGGAGCTGACCCGGGAGTGTCTGGAGAGCGCTGGCGAGACGGCCTACCGCGGCAAGACCATCGGGACCTTTGTAGGATGTTTCGGCGAGGACTGGCTCGAGACCTTGACCAAAGACAGCGAGGTTGTCGGGCAGTACAAAATCACCGGGTACGGCGATTTCATGCTCTCCAACCGGCTGGCCTACGAGTACGATCTCAAAGGCCCTAGTATGACCATCAGAACAGGCTGTTCATCGGCGTTGATCGGTCTCCACGAGGCGTGCATGTCGATTCACCATGGACAATGCAATGCCGCCCTGGTTGCTGGCTCCAACCTCATCATGGCACCCGGCCTCTACGTCAGCATGTCCGAGCAGGGCGTTCTCTCCCCGAACGGCTCTTGCCGAACCTTCGACGCGGGCGCCGATGGGTATGCCCGCGGCGAGGCTGTCAACGTCGTCTACGTCAAGCGCCTGAGCGACGCTCTCCGGGACGGAAACCCCATCCGTGCTGTCATCAGGGGTACCTCGAGCAATGCGGACGGCAGGACCCCGAGTCTAACGATCCCGAGCTTCGAGAGCCACGAGGCCATGATCCGTCAGGCCTACAGGATGGCTGCCATCAGTGAACAGCACATTGCCGATACTGGCTTCGTGGAATGCCATGGGACGGGCACCGCCGCTGGCGATCCCATCGAGACCACGGCCATTTCGAAAGTCTTTGGGGATGCGGGGGTATACATCGGCTCATGCAAGCCCAACATCGGCCATTCAGAAGGTGCTTCGGGCATCACGTCGCTCATCAAGTCGATCCTGGCTCTGGAGCATCGGACGATCCCGCCAAATATCAAGTTCGATACCCCTAATCCCAATATCCCTTTCGAGAAGAACAATCTTAAAGTGCCCGTTACGCCAACTCCCTGGCCGCAGGACCGGTCTGAGAGAGTCTCGGTAAATTCTTTCGGGATCGGTGGCGCAAATGCGCATGTCGTAGTCGAGTCAGCAGCTAGCTTCCTCGGCCATCTCCCGAGACTGTCCGTCGCAGAGCACTCGGCAGTGCCTGTTGGAAAGGCGCATCTCATGGTTTACTCTGCTAACACGGCCGACTCTCTGAGACGTCAAGTCGTTAATAATCAGAGGTACATCAGCCAGCACCCGGATTCCCTCGATGATGTTAGCTATACGTTGGGAGCCCGACGGAGTCACTTACCACATCGGGCGTTTTCGGTGATGCAGGACGGAGCCGACCTCAACACATCACCATTGGGTAAAACACCCAATAGTCCAGCCGATCTCGCGTTGGTATTCACTGGACAAGGTGCACAATGGCCCCAGATGGGAGCCGAGTTGCTCAAGACCAACCGGGTGTTTGCCCAGTCCATGCGGAAGATGGACAAGATCTTGAGCACGCTTCCCGACGGGCCGTCTTGGACGATAGTTGAAGAGCTCCTCAAGCCTGCGGAGACGAGCGGCCTGCACGAGGCGTACCTGTCCCAGCCGGTATGCACCGCGATGCAGATTGCCCTGGTGGATGCACTCAGAGAAACGGCCGGCATCAATCCTTTCGGCGTCGTCGGCCACTCCTCTGGCGAGATGGCTGCTGCTTACATCGCCGGAAGGCTTACGGCCAACGAGGCCATCGTGGCTGCATACTATCGCGGGGTCGTTTCTTCGGAGGTAGCCCAGTCCGGTGCCATGGCTGCGATCGGCATGGGAAGAGCCGAGACCCTGCCGTTCCTGAAGCCCGGCGTGGGCGTTGCCTGCGAGAATTCTCCTTCGAGCGTGACGATATCCGGCGATTCGGACCTCGTCGAAGAAGTTCTCTCGCAGATTCGAAAGGCGAAACCGGATGTCCTGGCCCGCCGGCTCAAGGTCGAGAAGGCTTACCATTCCCATCACATGCGAGAAGTGGGAAGTCGCTACCTTTCTTTGACGTCCCCCTACATTGATAGCTCCAAATCTCTTGACCCTGCCGGCCCATATCTATTCTCCTCGGTGACCGGCAGTAGACTATCGCAAGAGATACCCACAGACGCTGAGTACTGGAAGGAGAACCTCGAGTCGCCAGTACTGTTCGACGCTGCAGTGACCGCTTTGATCGCAGAGCACAAGAGTCAGACTAGCTACCCACTAGTGTTCCTTGAAGTTGGGCCACACTCGGCGTTGGCCGGACCGCTGCGACAAATTCTCGCGCAAGAGGGCATCAACTTGTCGTACGCTTCTTGTCTCGTCCGATCCAAGAACTCGACCGAGTCTTTCCTGACAGCAATCGGTCAACTCTGGCAGCAAGGCGTCGACATTGACTTTGAACGTCTCATAAACCCCAACGGCACCGCCCGTGTGGTTCCCGACCTGCCGGCGTACTCCTGGCAGCATGACCACTCCCTCCTGTTCTCGAGCCGCATCTCGGACGCGTGGCGGTTCCGCAAGTTTGCCAAGCACGAGGTGCTCGGCGTTCGTGTCGCAGAGAGCAGCGAAAACGAGCCTGTGTTCCGGAACGTGCTGGCGCTGGACCACGTCCCGTGGATCCGCGACCACAACATCAAGGGCGACGTCATCTTCCCCTGCGCAGGATATGTCGGTATGGTGGGCGAGGCCGCGAGACAGCTCTGCGGCGGCGGCACTTTTGCCGGGTTCGCGATGCGGAACGTCGTCATCGACATGGCGATGGTCCTCGTTGAGAACAAATCCGCGGAGATCATCACGAGTCTTCGGCGGGAGCGGCTGACGGACAGCCTCGACAGCCATTGGTGGGACTTTACAATCACCTCCCATAACGGCTCAGCGTGGTCAAAGCATTGTAGTGGACAGGTTCGGCCTCTGGAAAGCAACGACCGCAGCCCGAGAGAAGTCAAGCCTGAGCTGCCTCGGATGGTTGGCTCCGAAAAGTGGTATCAGGCCCTTCGCAACGTCGGCGCCAACTACGGCCCATACTTTCAGGGACTGGCGAACGTGACCTGTTCTCCTACCGAACATCAATCCAGCGGCACGGCAACGCATACTGTCCAAGACGGCTCCTACTATCCAGTTCACCCGACAAAGTTTGACTTCTTCCTTCAGCTCTTCAGCGTCGCCGCTATGAAGGGCGTTGGGCATCGGCTCGACAAGATGAACGTTCCGACTTTCATCGAGGAGCTAGAGATCTACGATTGTGACTCTCAGATACAGATGGAGGTTCGGGCTACCCAAACGCCCCGTGGCCTACTATGTGGAGGCGGAGAGGGGTTTGCTGACGGTGGCTCGGTCGCCTTCATCGTCAAGGGAGTGAAGCTGAGTCCTCTCGAGAATGACGTCTCTGAAGAGGATGCGGATCCTCATGCTGGCGCACGGGTTTTCTGGCAGCCTGCTGTCGACTTTTCGAAAATGTCGGATTTCATCAAGCCGCATCCAGAACAGGGAAGCCTCAAGCTCGCTCATGAACTTACTTTGTCCTGCATCAAGAAAGCTGTGCAGAGCTTGGCAGGGGTCGAAACTGCGCATCCGCATCTTGCAAAATTCCACGATTGGCTGAGGGGGCAACAGATTCCGACCGGCATCACCGATACCGACTCGGCTTTTGCAGACGCAAGTCAGATGGGACCGTTCTCGTCGTTCGTCGTCGCCTTGAAGATCGTGCTCGACAACCTCTTGCCGCTCTTCAGGGGGGAGGTTGAGCCCCTCGAGGTGCTCATGCCGAACGATGTTCTGACCGAAGTGTACAACTCGTTGAACATCACCGACAGGGAGCCACTGTTCCGGGCCCTTGGTCATTCCAAGCCCAACCTGCGGGTCCTGGAGATTGGGGCGGGAACAGGAGGCACCACTAACAAGATCTTGGGCTGGTTACGTGGCCCGACAGGCGCGTCATTGTACTCGGAATACACTTACACGGACATCTCGGCGGGTTTCTTCTCCGCGGCAAAGGAGCGCTTCCAGGGCAACCCCAACATGTCTTTCAAGGCGCTTGATATCTCCAAGGACCCCATCGATCAGGGGTTCGAGGCCGGGTCATACGATCTTGTTGTGGCCGCCAACGTTCTCCACGCCACCCCAAGCCTGAAAGAGACGCTCACGAACGTCCGTACACTATTACACCCAGATGGGAGGCTCTACATGGAAGAGCTGTCTTACAATGCTCTCCCGCTGAACTTCATCATGGGCGTGCTACCTGGGTGGTGGCTGGGGGCAGATGACGGTAGGCCAGACCAGCCGCACATCTCACTCGAGCGATGGGAGGTCGAACTCAGTAATGCTGGCTTCGATGGCCTCGAAGATGCGGCATTTGATTCTGAGCAGCCGACCAACCTGCTCGCGTTCATGACAGCCAGGCCTTCCAGGGGAATTCTTCCTCCGAGAAGCATCACCATCCTCCACAACGCGGAGTCTTTGAATGTTGCGAGGGAGGTCCAGGAGGCCCTATATCAAGCTGAGATGAAAGCTGTAACCCTGCACGATATCTCGGAGGGTGTACCCCCCGCAATGGAGGAAGTTGTTTCGGTCGTTGACCTGCAGGCTCCGTTCTTTGAGAACATCAGTGCGGATACCTTTGACGTCTTCCGCTCTCTCGTCATCGAAGCCTCGAAACAGCAAGCCGGGATCTTCTGGATCACCAGGTCGTCACAGGTCGGCTGCGCGGACCCAAGATGGGCGGAAACTATCGGCGCAGCACGATCTATCCGGAGCGAACTAAGTCTCGATTTCGCGACCTGCGAGCTGGAGCAGGTAAACGATGCCTCGATCCGTGAGATGACGGCCGTTCTCAAGCAATTCCAACAGAGACACCACGTTGGTTCCTCGACTCCCGAGTATGAGTACAGCATTGTTGACGGAACCGTGAATATTTCGCGACTGTACCCCGTCAGTGTCAACGACGAGTTGCGTGCCAAAGCCCCGGGCACGAAGAAGGTTGACCATGGTCTACAAATTGGCAGATACGGCCGCTTGAGCACACTTCACTGGGCCCCGAGGAAGCCAAAGGTTCTGCAGGGCGACGAGGTGGTTGTGGAAGCGAAAGCAGTCGGCATGAACTTCAGAGTATGTTATCCACCCTGCCCTCCCAAATGTGCATGATTTTAGCAGGAACCCAGGCTTACAACTTACAGGACGTCTTGGTCGCCATGGGTATTGTCGACTCTAACACGAGCAGTCCCGGCCTCGAAGCCGCTGGGATTATCCGTCAGACCGGGCCGGATACCAATGAGCTTGCTGAAGGGGATAGGGTCTTTGTTTTCGGGGGCGGTTGCTTCTCCACCGGCATCGTCATATCTGAAAAGCTCTGCGTGAAGATCCCAGACGCCCTGAGCTTCGAAGACGCTGCGACCATGCCCTGTGTCTTCGCCACAGTTATCCACGGCCTGCTTGACATAGCCAGGCTTTCAAAGGGCGACTCGGTCCTCATCCACTCGGCCTGCGGAGGAGTCGGTCTCGCCGCGATCCAGATCTGCAAAATGGCCGGTGCTGAGATATACTGCACCGTTGGCAGCGACGAGAAGGTCCAGCATCTTGAGGAGTTCTGCGGCATCCACAGAGACCGCATCTTCAACTCCCGCGACGCGTCGTTCCTCCCGGATGTCCTCGAGGCGACGGAGGGCAGAGGTGTTGACATCGTGCTCAACTCACTGAGCGGGGACCTACTCCATGCATCATGGAACTGCGTGGCCGAGTTCGGCAAGATGATTGAGATTGGAAAGCGGGACCTCATCGGTAACGGAAAGCTTGCCTTGAACGTGTTTGTGCTAAACCGGAGCTACCACGGCGTGGACCTTGGTCACCTCATCGAGGTTAAACCCCAAGAAGGAAACAGGTAAGCATGGTAGACGTCATGAGGGGGAATATTGCTAACGGGTCTTCAAGGCTGTTGAAGCGGGTTGTGGAATTGTATGAAAAGGGACACATCGGCCCTGTTTCTCCGATAAAGGTCTTCGGCGCAGTTGCCGTTGAAGAATGTTTTCGATACATGCAAAAAGGGCAGCATATCGGGAAGATTGTCATGTCCATGGACGGTCTTTTGCATGACACTCAGAGCAGCTCTTCTCCGGCTTTCAAGCCGTCATTCGACAGCGATGCTAGCTACATGCTGGTGGGAGGACTCGGTGGCCTGGGCCGTCTCGTTTCCAACTGGATGGCGGAGAACGGGGCACGGCATCTGGTATACCTCTCGCGCAGCTGTGGGGACACGCGAAAGAAGGGCAGGTTCTTGGACGAATTGGAGGCCCAGGGTTGCTCCGTAGTCACGGTGGGGGGAAGCGTCAGTTCACTCGCCGACGTCGAGAGGGCAATCGGCGCCGCGACGAGGCCCATCCGCGGCGTCATCAACATGTCGATGGTCCTCCGCGACCAGAGCATCTCGAAGATGACGCATGAAGAGTGGACGGCGGCGGTGACCCCAAAGGTGCAGGGGACATGGAACCTGCACAACGCGTGCCGCAACGTCGGACTGGACCTAGACTTCTTCCTTCTCTTCAGTTCCATCTCGGGCGTTGTCGGGCAGAGAGGCCAGGCCAACTACGCCGCAGCCAACACGTTCCTGGATGCGTTTGTCCAGTACCGGCAGTCGCTGGGTATGAAGGCCAGCGTCGTTGACATCGGCGCCATGACGGACTACGGGTACCTTGCCGACAACCCGCTGTTGATGGAGAGACTGGCGGGGCAGGGGTATTTCGGCATCAAGATCCCCCAGCTGCTCGACGCACTGGCTCTTGTCATCAAGCCTCGTGCTCTCGAAGGCGAAGAGTCCACCCGGCCAGCGTTTGTCAACGATAAGCAGCTCGTGCTCGGCCATCGGAGCCTGACGCCTCTGAGCGACGCCGCAAATAGAGTCATCTGGAAAGAGGACCGTCGGATGGCGTTTTACTTCAATTGCGACGGCGACAAGAAGACTGCCAGCACAAACGATTCGTCCGACCGGGGTGTTTTGGCATCGTTTCTGAAATCCGCCGGTACAGACCCCGGGGTTCTCTCATTGGCCGATTCCGTGGCGTTCGTGGCGCGTCAGATTGCCGCGCAGCTTTTCCGCCTCTTGTTGAAGCCTGCGGAAAACGAACAAGACATCGACGTGAGCATGTCGCTGCAAGATGCCGGGCTCGACAGTCTGGTCGCGGTGGAGATGCGCAGCTGGTGGAAGGGCACGTTCGGGTTCGACATCAGCGTTCTCGAAATGCTGGGCATGGGAAGCGTGGCGGCCCTCGGTGAGAGAGCCGTGAGGGGGCTGAAGGAGAGCATGGGGGAAGCCGGTGAGGTCCGAGACGAGGGCGGAGAGAAGCACGACACGGAGGGGTACCTCAAGTTGAAGATGCCGTGATAGCATCGTATGGTGCGTCTCCACTGGTCACATGCCGGATATGCGTAGTAAGTCGGAAACTGGGGGATCAGTCTATCCTGGTGCATCTTGTTCTTTGCGAGTGGCAGTGACTGGCGAACGGCTGGTTTTGAGTTTAGTGTTTGTTGCACGGGCGCGTAGAAATTGTCCTAGAATTAAGCTTATTCAACAAATGGAGGAGACGAAAAAAGAATGCGCTAATCAAACCCGATTGCGTCGGGCGTGGCTCGACGCGCAATGTTTTCAACCGAGTGAAGTCTGGCTCTGTGGCTGCTTTGCATCATCGGGTATCTGTAGCCGTATCAAGAGATTGAGATATGCGAGAGGTGCTACATGTCGAGTTATATTACGTATCGTAATATTCATGTACCGGGTGAACTGCACTGGAGCGCTTATGGGGGGTTCTAGAGCGACTATATTGCGTTGGCCTCATCAACTGCCAAAGCCTGAAGGGGCCGCGAAGCCGAGTGATAGCTGGGATGAAATTCTCCGTGCAACAACGGGTAGATCGTAAGATAGTAATAACGTAATCGAGTAGTCACCAAGTGTGACGTCGCGTGTGAAGCGTAGAGAGATGTCGGATCGGAGGTGGACATGCCGGGTTGCGAAACCCCAGTCACGTTGCTGACAAGGAGACCCTTATGGAATATTCCAATCCGACGAGGGGGTGATGGAATCAGAGGCAAAGAATAGATACGAACAAAGGACTCCAGACCGAAGGGTGTCAGCTCAAAGTGGGATGGGATGGGATGGTATGGAATGGGATGGCCACCACTCCAAGTGTGTGTGTTCTTTGCTACTAGTACATACTAGTTAGTACATGACTGTATGTACGGACACTGCTGACACCGAGGGGCATCGGATCGATGGCGGCATAAATCATGGAAAGTTTGTGTTTGGATGCTTAGGCAGGTTGTTGCCATTGACCTATCGGAGAGTCAATGGCCGTTGGGGGAGGGTGTGTTCGGTACAAAGCACCGCCAAGAAATAAGCTTACTACTAGACCTTCGCTTGGCACTCCCGACCGTTCCTGGGCCAGGCAGGCAGGAAGGAACAATACACACATTACTCCGTACTTGAAAGGTTCTTTCCTGGGGTTCCTCTGACTCTGTCCGTCCCTTCCCCGCGCTCTTGACGAGCCGGGTACGTACCTCCATCGCATCACAAACCAAAAGGCGCAACCCTTTGCCACAAACCCCACTTATTTGGCTTCGCGCCCTCCTTCACCCACTTACTAACTGGGACCGTGGCTCGAGGAGATGGCTACATACCTTCCAGGGTGCCAAGCCAAGGTTTGTAGCTTTGGACAGGACGACCGGCAGCGACAGCTTCCTTATTCTTCCTCTCGCCAAGAATTTTCCGCCGTCAAGCCGCACGTGGTTCTCGCCAAATATGGGTACCGCCAGTTTATTAAACATGCATTTGCGGCCAGAGTCGCTGCTTCTTGTTTGGCCGAGGAGTGGGTTCAATCCGCTCAGTCGCCTTGCTTCCAGTGTCTGTCCAGCTAACCTCCTCCTCGACTCTTTGCCCTCCTGTCGGTCTCCCGGATTCCCTTCGCTTTTTGAGACTGCACAAATCCCGCTGCAATGAGAGCTGTCGCTCTTACCCTGGCTCTGCCGGCACTCGCTGGCGCCTTCGACGGCAAGCCCTACGTCGAGTCCGACAAGCTCCAGGCCCTCATCACCATCGACGACCTGCTCGCCGGCTCTCAGAAGCTTCAGGACATTGCTGATGCCCACGGCGGAAACCGCGCGTTTGGCGGCGGTGGCCACAATGCCACGGTCGACTGGCTGGTCGAGGAGCTCCAGAAGCTCGACTACTACGACATCTACAAGCAGCCCTTCACCGAGGAATTCATAGGCTCCACGGCCGCTCTCACAGTCAACGGTGTTGACGTTCAATCCCGTCCTCTGATATACACCCCTGCCGGCAACGTCAGCGATGCGCCCCTCGTCGCCGTAGCCAACTTTGGGTGTGACGCCCAAGATTTCCCTGCCACCGTCGCTGGCGGTGTCGCCCTTATGGCGAGAGGCGCTTGCAACTTGTCCGTCAAGACCACCCTCGCCAAGTCTGCCGGCGCTGTTGCTGCCATCGTCTACAATGACGAGGAAGGTGATCTTAGGGGATCCCTTGGCGAGGAGTCGGATGCCTATGCACCCTCCGTGGGCATCACTCAAGCCGAGGGCCAGGCTTTCCTTGCTTCTCTCAAGGCTGGCCAAGATGTCAGGGTCCATCTCAACCTCGTCTCCGTCATCGAGAATCGCACCAACTACAACGTAATCGCCGAGACGAGAGGGGGAGACCACAACAACGTGCTCATGATCGGAGGCCATGCTGACTCTGTTTTTGCCGGCCCTGGTGTCAAGTAAGTTGCTTTCCAGCGCAAGGGTTTTTTTTTTTGGGGGGGGGGGGGGGGGTTTACGAAAAAACGAGAAAAGAAAAAAGCGCAAGAAGAAACGAAAGAAGCGATGAAAGAAGAGATAAATAAAGTGGCAAAGGAAGAGACGAAACGAAAAAAAATCAAACAAAACACAAAAGCAAGAGATGACACTGGCTAACCGCGATTTTCTTCTCTAGCGATGACGGCTCCGGCACTGTTGGTGTCCTTACGGTTGCCAAGGCTCTTAGCCAGTTCACCACCAACAACGCCGTTCGTCTTGCTTTCTGGGGCGCCGAGGAGTACGGCAAGCTCGGCTCGTACTTCTACGTCAAGCAGCTCAACAGTTCCGCCTCGGAGCTTCTCAAAGTCCGCGCATACCTCAACTTTGACATGATTGCCAGTCCCAACTACCGGCTCTCCATCTACGACGGCGACGGCAGCACCTTCAACTTCTCAGGCCCCCCGGGTTCTGACGTTATCAAAAAGCTCTACGAGCGCTTCTACGAGGCCAGAGGTCTCGGCCACGTCCCTACCCAGTTCAACGGCCGTTCTGACTACGCTGCCTTCATCGAGAACGGCATCCCCGCCGGTGGTGTCTTTACCGGCGCTGAGGCTCTCAAGACTGAGGCTGAGGCTGCTCTCTTTGGAGGCATGGCCGGCGTCGCCTACGACCCCAACTATCACCAGGCTGGCGACGACATCAACAATCTGAACCACGATGCCTACCTCATCAACGCTCAGGCAATCGCCCACAGCGTTGCCACGTACTCGATGAGCTGGGACACCATTCCCCCCGTCTCGCTTCCTCAGCGCCTGTGGGTCGCTGACACGGCCATGCATCTCAAGCACGCTTCTGAGCTTACTGGCCACTCTCACGACGGACCATGCGGCGGTGGTGTGACTGTCTTGATCTAGAGCAGTTAACAGCATTGCTCACCTCCAAAGAAGGGGGGAGCCATTTGCTCTCGGTGTCAAAACCCTACTTGCTAGATAAATATTAATTCTTGAATGAGACATGAACGAACGGAGAGTCGTCGCTTTGAAAGTGTGATATAACTATGAACAATGGCTGCCGGCGTTGCTTTGGCAACATCAACGGATGGAGTCGCTAATTCAATGGCACCTACGACTCAATATAACAGCGCGTCCCCTCTAGCGGTGTTACATTACATTACATATGGGCTTTTAACCGACGTTGAGTAACAGATAAGCTGCTGCAGAACCGGCAAAGGGGGGGGGGGATCACATCTTCATGCGGGAGGAACCACAATCTCAGCCAGGATGCGTTACATCCGTGGACCCTTAGATGCGTGACAACCCTAGCATAATCCCCCGTAGAACCAACTGTTAACTGCAAAGCAACACAAGGCAGGAACCGTCAACCTGGGTCGCCGGGAGAAAGGATCGGCAGTTTACTCCACCATGGACCGTGGGAATCATGAGTGGACGCCGAAAGGCAGAAAGAGAAAAAAACATGTGAAAAGGAGGCCGTAGAGGTTCTTTTTGTATCAGTGGAACGCCGAGCCATCAAGGTCCCCTTCCTCCCCCTGCCGACTTTGTAGCAAAGCTTGACCCGGGCAGTCGGATACTAGCGAATGCAGGTGTATCCTGGACAGCGGTGGAAGCAAAAGCTTATCTTGACGTGTTGGTGCTTTCCTTTTTACAGAGACTTTGAAATCGGCAGCTGCCGAGACGTCTGAGTTGCGTAGAGGGGTGTGAATCTGGCGAGTTCTTGGCTCTTGGCGGGCTTTTTCGCGATGTACCAGAACAGACCAACGCGCGCCGGCGCTTGGCGGCGACTACGGGGCCCCCCTCTGGAGATTGGGCGGTTCGGCTTTCCAGTCCGGCACTACCGCGTATCATATGATTTGCGGAGGGTTCGGTCGGCTCCCATCTCGGAAAAGGGGTGTTATCGAGAAAAGGATCATGGCGATTTCGTACCGTCCGGTGGCCTCCCCGCTTCGCCCAGACTTGAGATTGCACGATGGGCGGAGCCAAGACCTATGAGGAAAGCGGGGACTAAGTTGATACTTCGTGACTAGGAATCTATGTAAGCAAAGCAAGTACGTATGTAGTATACAAAACATGAGTACTACAGGTAGTAAGAGGAAAGGGGTGATTTTTAGCAATATTACTCCTACCTGATATTTACTATCAAGGTAGTTTTAAAGTCAAACCAACAAAAGATGTAGAAAAGCAAAAGTTGTTTTTATATAGTCCTGGAACTATGTCGGAGTTCAACAGACACAAGAAATACATGTTAATCAGTGCTTGTTCCTTCTTTGGAGTCAATGATCAGTAGGACGCCTGACATCCGTACACAAACTGCGGGTTCAACGCACAATGCCTTCAGTCACCATTATATTAGGGTGCGTGGGGATTTGCAATGTCGAGTTTGATCAGGCGGGCTTCTACATTATGTAGTTCGTCAACGGGCTCTTGATCCGCCTCGGCACTTCTTGCAGCCCCTCTAGTAGCGTTCTATCGTCGGCGAGTTTCTTCCGTCTAAGTGGTCTTCTGCCACCATTGATGTTGGTCAACTGTTTCTATGGCCGTTGGATTCGGATTTGTTAACCCAGATATTATTTTCTGCGCCTTAGGACCCGGCTCTGCGCTCCAACATTCGAATCTTCATCTTGGTTGATCCTTTACTGTCTCCCCGGGCATAGCCAAAGCTCCCTTCAGAGCGCGAAGCCAATCGTTGCTGTTGATGTGCTTGAAGAGCCCCCTGGGTACTGGTTAAAATAGGAAAAATGCTGATTAGTATCGCCTGTTCTGGGGTCATACCGCTCTTTGCAATTTCTTGCCAGTCGTTAAAGATATGAAAGTCGCCACCCCCTAAGGTATATTAAACTGAAAGTGAACCTTTTACAGTATTTAACTGTAATATACTTGCGATTAGTCTGAACAAAAATTTGTCTGATGCCTTGGTTAATATTCTACTTTGTCCCTCTGGGCTCTGCTACATTGCGTTGCCTATTGTATAAGGGGTCTAATGTAACTGTCTATATTCCAGCATGTAAGTAATATCAAAATCGCCTAGAGCTGCATTAGGGACTGATTTATTACCTCTATTATTGCAAGTCTAGTTGACTAACATATTATCAGGCTTTACATCTGTTCACACGGATTCATTAGTTAGATGTTGTAACGATGTATTAGTGTAGTTGTAGAAGTGACAAGTGTGGTTCTCCAGCTCCACTTCTGTTACTATATTAGATATGTTAGGTTGTGATATTTGTATTGCAAAATGTACTGTTGTGCATCTAACCTTTGCGATGAAGCTCTTGTACTGCTTCTCCTATGCCTTATAGGGACAGGGTGGTGGTGGCTGGACCACAATGATTTGTTTCTTAGTTCGCAGCGACAGAGGTCATTGGAGCAAGCAGCATAACATTGGATGAACACTGGGATTGTTTTTTCCCCTCCTTTTCTTGACGGTGGCGCAATGTCCTGCACACAGGCACGCACGCACACGCGCAAGCAAGCTGATGGTTCTTCGGCCATGGCTGCTGCGACGCGATGCAACGTTGAAGCTGCAGCATGCAGGCACACACGTACCTGCACTACCGGTAGGTACCTCCACGAGGGAGTCTAGCAGACGGCTTGTGCGAGGGGCGGTTTCTTTGAGCCATCTTCATCCGCCGATGATGGGACGCGGCGGAGGCAGGGAATGTATTGCCCCGACTGAAAGTCAGTACCGGCAATAAACAAATTGCCGCCTCGAGTATTTTGCCAATCGCATGAGCTGTAACATTTCTCGGCCCAGTCACCCAGTTTAACCGATTCGTCGGTCGAACGATATGGGCCATGACAGTCGGTATTGCGCAAGAAACCGAGCAACTAACTTACTGTTCCGATTAGACTTGTTTCTCTCATAGCGCACGTATCTAAGGCGGTCCTTCCGTCTCTCTCCACAATCCCCTCATAAAGCTTGGCACCTGCCCGATGAAGCATCGATGATCCACAAGTGCCAATGATGGGAAAGAACCCCCCCGGTAGGCCAAGAGCACGTCGCACTTCCACCATCTCCATGCACGCCTGTCGCCATTCGTCTACCTGCTCAGACTCACAGCACTGGCAGATATCCAAGGTGCCAAGGCATGCCGTTTGCCCGCGGGCCAAAATCCGCCATTCTCTCAGGCAAAAGTCCTTCTGCCAAGAACACCCCACGTCGCTCACCTGCCCGAGACAGCATCGCTCGCCGCTGCACCAATGCCTCAGTGCACCCGGTGGCTAGGGGACCCAAGAGAGAACCAGGCAGTGTAAACTTTTGAGATGTCTTATTCGTGTGTGGCAAGCAGATAATGATACACTACACTAGGTACGGAGTACTCACAGAGAGACAGGGACCATAGATTGCCATCATGCGACCAACCGAACCCAGTCTGCAAGCCGTCCATTTCCCTCCCCATGCCAACGTTGTCACTCACTGGCTGTCGTCTTATCGCGCAACTCTCTCTGCTTGGCAAGTGTTGGCACGAGCCCGTCCAGTATATAAAGGACCCGACCGTGCTGTCCCCCAAAAGTCTGCTCTCTCTGCCGATCAGTCCGTTCGTTTGGATCCATTGAAGCTTTGTCAAGTTCGTCCCCCTCGTGCCTACGAACCCAGCCACAATGAAGACCGCCGCCACCCTCGCTGCGGCTCTATTCGCGCTGCGATCCCTCGCGACTGACCCCCTCACGGCCGACAAGGTCGAGGCCGATATCCTCACCACCGAGTGCGTTGCCCGTTCCAAGAATGGAGGATGGATCACCGATGCTAATGTCTTTCTCTCTCCCAGGCTGGAGCGTAACCTCTGGAACCTCAACAAGATCGCCCGCGACAACGGTGGCAACCGCGCCTTCGGCCTGCCCGGCTACAAGGCCTCGTCCGACTACATTCTCGAGCGCGTCCAGGGCCGCTTCTCCAAGCAGCTCGACACCAAGATCCAGTACTTCAACCACACCTTCGCCCAGACCCGCGAACTCAAGGTCACGGGTCCCGATGGAGAGGACGTCTACGTTGTGAGCCTCCAGTATAACCACCCGACTGCGCTCCCCGGCGGCAACACCGCCCCGCTCATTGACACCCCTGTCGATGATGAGCGAGGTAAGAATCTCGTACTCAATTTGCTAAGTTATTGGTATCTGACTTTTCCGGTGCACAGGCTCTGGCTGCTTCGCCGACCAGTGGGAGGGCATTGACGCCACCGGCAAGCTTCCCCTTGTGAAGCGCGGCGTCTGCGCCATCTCCGATAAGCTCAAGCTAGCCAAGGCCCACGGTGCCGTCGGTGTTATTCTCTACAACCAGACACCCGGCAAGGATATCGGCTCCGCCACCCTCAGTGCCGAGAACCTGGGCCTGCTGGTGCCCGTTGGTCTCATTTCCCTCGAGGATGCTGAAGCCTGGAGAGCACGCCTCGCCGCTGGTGAGACCCTGGAGGTTAATCTCCTGGTCGATGCCATCTGGGATGAGCGCGAGACCTGGAACATCATCTCCGAGACCAAAGAGGGCGACCCTAACAACGTTATTGTCCTTGGCGCCCACTTGGATAGTGTCCAGGCCGGTCCCGGCGTCAATGACGACGGCAGCGGTACCTCGGCCCTCCTTGAGATCGCTGGCTCTTTCAAGAAGTACAGCGGCTTCAAGAACAAGGTCCGCTTCATCTGGTGGGGTGCCGAGGAAAGCGGCCTCGTTGGCTCCCTCTACTACACTTCCCAGCTTTCAGAGGCCGAGGCCGATGCCATCCGGTTCTACTGGAACTACGACATGATCGGCTCCATCAACCCCGTCTATAACATCTACCTTGGCGACAATGAGGGCGACCTCTTCGGCGCCCAGCCCATCTACGACTACATCGCTGCCCAGGGCAAGCCCGCTGCGTTCGGCAGCTTCGGCTCCAGCTCCGACTACGTTGGCTTCCTCCAGCTCGGCATCCCCTCGTCCGGCATCTTCACCGGCGCCGGCGCCCCGACCGACCCCTGCTACCACCTGGCCTGCGACACCCTCGACAACATCAACTGGGAAGCCATCACCATCAACGCAAAGGCCGCTGCCCGCGTCGCCGCTGATTTCGCCAACGAGCTTCCCGCCGCCCTGCCCCGCCGCGCCACAACCACGCCTGCCCGCCGCAGCCGCGACGCCATCCGCCGTGAGTTCCAGAAGTGGGCCCTCGCCGCCGAACACGCCGAGCACGCGAAGAGCTGCTCCCACGGCGAGCACAACATCTACTAGATTAATGTGTATCGAGAGCTACCGAGATAGATAATACCTAATGTCTTGACAATATAAATGAAAATCTTGAGAAAATAGTTGCTTGCCAGACGCTTATCTGTTACCTTGCTTTGACCAGTGTTGTAGGTAGATCTCAGACTGGCTGACGACGTTGCCGACGTATCAACTGCTTGGCGTCCGAGGTTGACATTCTGCAGTCCCTTCAAAAAATTGCCTGATCAAGGCTAGTAATCACTATCCATTCTAGCATTAGCAATGTAGCATTTGCAGTTACGTCCTTGTACCCACCATGATGCCACGTAGATAGAGCTCGGTTGTAGCATGCCAACAGTGCTTCATCCTTCCCCTAGTGGATGATGTTGATGTCTGACGACGGTAGATCCTGGTCAACAGTTCTCGACGGTAATTGCTCTTTCAGTGCAGCTTCGACGGTTGTGAGGTCACCCACAGTGACCCCTTCTTCTGATGCTCGGTGGGAAAATGCGCTGAACATGTTCAACAGCAATGAATGGGGTCTGGAGCGATCGGAGGTGCGCGATAATCACGACCCGGTATCCTGGTTGTGTCTAGAGTGTTTGTGCCAGGGGATTATTAGAGCGGCCGAGACTTGGCGGCAGTAGCTGCCTCACATAGTCTTTGACCACATAAGGTTTAAGTCACAGTCTTACGATGCCGAACTACGGCGGGCTGTAAATATATACCACCTTTTTGTATGCGTATAGACGGAGGCTTGGAACTGCTGAACGGTGCACCTGCCTAGTAATAACAGTCCTTGAACCCACCAAACAGGATCAAGCTGACGGTACCGCAAAGTATGGGTGATCCATACCAAGCTTCTCGCAAATGCGGTGGGTGGTTTCTGCTGACTTTCAGTGGTCCACGAAAAGGGCTTCAATCCATTCTCAAATCTGATGTCTTTCCGTACGAACGTTTGTCTAGTATCTTGGCGTTAACATAGTCTGATCTAGGACTTTGGTACTGACCTATTAGAACGTTAAGCTGACAGTGTTATTCAGCTGAGTAGAATACTAGCCTATATAACTATAATACAGTCGTCCTAGTAGGCATAGATACAACTGTAAATAACGATTGGCAGCTCCCTATAGCTGGTATTTACTTGAGGAAGGTGGAGACAGACCAGATGTTAAAATCAAAGCTATATAGCTCCTTATCAAACCAACACAGGTCTTATTGCATTACCAACCAGCACAACTACGCCCTCCCTACAAAATAAGTCAACACCAGGACTTATCATCCATCACCCACAGGCCTCCAGATAACAAATCGCGATACTAGACTATCTAGGGAAAAGGTAGCTAAGCGCTTAATTTAAGGGGAAGGAGGCATAAAGCGCTGGCTTACACAAGAATGCTAATTAGATGCGGACACAAAACTCCAGCATATTATTCCCCGCTAACTTGCCGCCAGCTATAACTCAAAACACAGTTTCCAGAGATGAGTGTTTCTAGTAATAGTTTGGCTATACAGTAGGTATTAATAAAGTTAATAATTCATAGGAAACTAGGTAGATTTATTTCTGGCTGATTACAGCCCCTATACAGTCACTAGGTTGCCGGCGGCCGCAGTCCTAAATCCTTTCTCTCGGCTTCTAAAAGCCCGGTATGATGTAATTTACTGCCGATACTCGGCAGCTCCCAACGGCCCGGGTGCAGATACACATGGCTGTTTCACTGCTTGAGCATCGGACGCAAAGCCATAGCAGTGCACTTAAATATACTCTGAAATCATATTCTTCTCTATGCTCTACAAACAACAATAGATAGGGACCGTTAGTCAAGGTCCATTCTTAGAGACTCTAATCGATATGAGGTGTTCTGTGCATAGCGGAGAGGGACGTCATTTTCCATAACCTTCTGTTGGGGCGTAATATAGACAACCAGCCCTTTGTGAAAGTTGGACATACAGCAGATCGCCATGACAACAGTACAACATATAATAACAAGGGTAATAGCCGTAAACACAACTAGTGCATAGTTGCCGCTATTGTAAAAGACGGAAAGCTTGTAAGCTAGATAACCTGCAGCACCAAGATATGCAAGCTAGGGTTGGTTGATTAGCGTTAGGAGGTACAGAGTGCTGTCTCGTGCTTACAATGACGAGTGTCGTGCCGATCTTTTTCTCTTCTAGGGCGAATTTGATCGCCATCCAAACCACGAATAGGGTAACAAAGATGCCGCTAATGGAGAGTCCAAACTCGGGGTCGGCCTGGGAGACCATCAGGACAGCTACCTGAACCAGAAAGCCCAGGAGGAAGAAAACGCTAAATTTGATAAGAGCCATGTATATCTGCGGGGCATACATCATGTCAGCACATGAACTGGTCAGCTACAGGCGCGTAGAGACGCGCCAGAGGGCAACCTACTTGAAAGGTCAGAAGTCGTCGCCTCATTGATAGCTCGGCATGGAGAACCCTGTACATAACCCAAGCGAACTCGAAATGCAGTTTGTAGGCAAGGAAGCACGTCACAACTGTGGCTACCACCTGCACCAGGACCACAGCCATCAAAGCTAGGCTAACACGTTCCCATGTATGGAGTCCAAGTGGCAAAATAGGACGCTCGCCCATGACCAACGAGGCACTGAGGGTATCCAAGGCTTTTTTGACGTGTAAGGGCTGAACAATTGCATAAACAAGCAGCAGGATGTTGTAGATACAGAGCCCCACGATCTGAATCATGTTGCTCAGACGCAATGCATCGTAGACGATGACAATCTCGTGCACAAAGGCGAAAATGAAGAGGGAGAAGTACATAGGTACTGCGTGCCCAGAGAAGACCTGGTAGGCTGCCGGGTCAAGGTCAACCTCAACGGTAACAAGAACGTAGCTTTAATTTGGTATTAGTTAGTTATTGCCTAGGTAAGTATGGAGAAAGGAAAGAAGTAGAACCAACCCTTCAATACTTAAGGCAAGTAGGCCTTGTATAAATGCGACAGCGAGGAGTAGACGCTGTGATGTGGTAGAAGGACAGTACATGGCCGATGCAACGTCAATAACATATAGGAACGACTGGTATAGATGAATAGCCCTATACCCCGTGGTATGTGTTAGTAGATATCAGTATGATAGAGAGTAAAGGTCTCATGAGTTAGGGCACACAGCAGTGGGCGTTCTAAAGGTTGAAGAGAAGCTTGAATTGTAAGAAACGGGAACCCATGTGCCAGGGGTCATAGAAATAGGGAGCTCAAAGTCGGTCATGTGACATTGCACACGATGTGGCTCATCTCATGAGCCACACTAGCTAAATCCTCCTTTGACAAAAGATTATACAGGAGCGTGAATAGAACGGCAAAATTAAAATCAGAAATTTCAGGTCTAGGGATTAAATTTGTAATAAATGTTTCAGTACAGGGGCGCACAACAGGTGGGGGCCTAAGGGTGTAAATACCTAGATCTGTTATGCTACATGCTACGACGAACGTCAAGCCTTGGACGCGCCGGACCTAAGAAGGGAATAAGTCGGGTTGAACTACAGGCATGTAAGTCACGTGAAGCGTAGATATCGCAATATCAGCTGTAGAGATATTCGCTTTATACAGCGGTCAGTGTCTCTACCCTAGTTTAGGATAGTAATAAGGAAGAGGGTAGTAAGTAGTTTTAATTAATTTTATACGTTATAGCTAAATTAACTTGTAAAAGACAGAAGGGGAAAGGCAGGTAGGCCACTTGCTATGTAGGGACGATATCTAAGTTTTATCTAAGTTGCCGATCACGCCCTAAGACTTCTTCTGGCCTTGCGGCGATCAAACTGTGCCTAAATGTGATTCACAAGTCGAACGACTGCTATATAAGTACTACTGCGGTGGCAAGGAGAATTACAAGTACGGCTGATATCTTTTTAGCTATAAAGGGGTAATGGTATACTTCTGACCTTTCTTGGCCTGAATTGGGGCAGCGTACGGGTTGCCGTTGACGTTAAATTTAAGCCCATTCTCTACTCTGATGCTAAGCGGACCGTCAACAGACGCCACAATAGTCGCCGTTTTGATGTGGCTATTTTCCCATGTAGCGTCGACTTGAAACCCTCCGCGGGCTCTCCATCCGGTGAAGGAGCCACTGGCCAGGGCCTTGGTAGGCAGGGCCGGCCCCAGATGCACAAGGCCGTCCAGGTGGGATTGCAGAAACACTTCATTCACAGCTTCGACCAGGCCGAAGTTAGCATCAATCTGGAACACATCCGACGTAATGGCCCAGAGGTTCGAGAGCGTGTAAGTGGCAATCATTTCCACAAAGTCTTCCACGACGGCATCGCCCAGGAAGCTTCGCGCGTGGAGGCAAGCGGACCACATACGAGACCAGCCCGTCGACCCTGAGCCTGATTCGGTCCGGTGCTGGTGCAAGAGCTGTGCGGCTTTGAACAAGTTTGGATTCTTGAGCGGGCTATATTCATGGCCGGGGTGCATGCCATAGAGGGGGCTAAAGTGCCGGTGACCGGCCTCGGCCTCGGGGAAGTCCTTGGACCACTCAAGGAGCCGCCCGTTGCTCGGGTTGACGGCGGGAGGTGGAATCTGCGCCAAAAAGGCCTGGGCTCGCGTCACGCCCTCGGTAGTGCCGACGGCTTCGCTCAGCTCGATGAAACTCGTCGCCAAGTCCCACAGCAACGCCCGGTCCGACGTGGGTGTAATGTCCATGCCCACCAAGTTTCCTCCCGCGTCCATGGCATATTGATTCTCCGGGGACGTGGAGGGGTAGACCTTGATTTGTCCCTGGCTGACGACGGCAAAGCTGGTGTAAAAGTCTAGGGCCGACGACATCAACGGCAACGCGACGAGTTTGGCAAAGGTGGCATTGCGAGTGAAGCGATAGTGCTCACTCGCGTGGCTGAGCAGCCATGCCCCGGCCAGAGTCCAAGGCGCCCAAGGGCCGCTGCCGTCGGCGGGCGCGCAATCGCCCCAGTGATCCAGGTTGTGATGAACGACCCAGCCTGTGGCATTGTACATGCGCTGGGCACAGTCCACCCCAGATGTCGCGGCCGTCTTGAGCAAATCCCAGAGCGGCTGCATGAGATCGCCGAGCCCGGCCGTATTGGCGGCCCAGTAGTTCATTTGCAGGTTGATGTTGACGGTGTACATCGAGCCCCAAGGCGGGTCCATGTGGTCATTCCAGACGCCTTGCAGGTTGGGTGGCAGCGATCCGGGCCGCGACGAGCAAATGAGGAGATAACGGCCATAGTTCCACATCAGAGCCAGCAATTCCGGGTCCGAGTTGAGATCCCGAGTCTTTTGGATGTTGCCGATGCGGTCCATGGTGTTATATCTTGCGGCCGGCGCCGTAGCTCCCACGTTGAACGAGACGCGGTCATAGTATTTCTGGTGGTCAGCGACGGCGGCCTTGGCAATGATGTCAAAGGTCGATTCCATGGCGGCGGTGAGACGATCTGTCAAGACCTGTTCCCACTGAGGACTGTAAAAGGCAGTCTCGGCGTCCCACCAGAGAACGACCGAGTCGGCACCGCTGACGTGAAGAGCATTGCCCTTGATGGCGTCGGTCGTGACATTTCCTGCATCGTCTGTTAGAGTCGCCGACACCAGATTCCGCGTAACGAACCTCCTTGGGTGGTGAGACAGGCCCGGGACGTGAATTGGTAGCCCGGATCGTCCGAACCGTACGCGTTCATAGTGATGCAGTGCGTCTGTTCTGAGTTCGTCACGACCGAGTCGACGCCCTTGTCGCGACTCATGTAAAGGGCAAAGGCAATTTGGCCCGGGCTGTCGGCCGTGAATTGCATGGCAAAGACATTGGCCGGAGCACTGGCCACGGCCTCGCGAGTGTAGCGCACCCCCTTCGAGGTATATGAGTGCGAGTAGAAGCCCGTCTGGAGATCCAATGTTCGGTTCACGTTGGAGAGACCGTCGTGGCCCGTGACGACATTGAGATTGCCGGCCGGTTCAAACTTACGCGGTCGACTCGGGTCGCCCGCCAGGTTGCTCGCAAAATCCGCTTCGGCCGCATCAATGTTTCCGGCGTCGAGCTTTTGGCGAATCCGAGCCAGTGCACCGGGAGCATTGCGGTTGATTCGGTCCTGTTTGCGTCCGCTCCAGACCGAGTCCTCATTCATGATGATCCACTCATCAGGATATCCTCCAATCGTCACCCCGAGTCGCCCGTTGCCGAGGGGGAGGGATGACTTGTAGTTAATGGCCTGGGTGGGGAACCACAGCATGTGCGAAGGGCTGTCATCGGCGGCCGCCGCTTCCATCCACAGGCACGCCACGAGCAAGGCCAGAGAGACCATGGTCTTGGTGGTACAGTATCAATGTGTCATGGGACAGAAGAGCAGAGCGAGAGCCAAGGCAAGGCAGGGGAACAGGAGAGGGCAAAGCTAAGGCAAGGTAGATATACAAGAGGGTGCCGTACAGAAAGGAAGAGCCCTGCTTATAGTCTTCCATCATATGCTTTGCAGGCTTGGTGGGGGCTTGTGATCATCTACTACGTACAGTCCAGTACAAAACAAGACAGCATTTGTACTATGGTACCAGGCCGAAGTTTTATACCCCCTGTCAGGTATCTCAATCTAACACTCACCCCCCAGCTTATTTCTGTAGCGGGCATTAAAGTACTGTTTACTAGCCTAGCCAGCTGGGCTGTGTGGCGATATCACATAACAGGGGGCATTTAACTTACCCCTACCACCCTGTAGTTTACGTGACTAAGTAGGGGGCCCTTACACACTAACTTTGGCATATATAGACTATTTAGGCAATAGAGGTACTATAACTCTATTAGTTAACTTGATTATTCTTAGCCTCTTATTAGCTGTACCCTGCCCTTAGGAAAAGTGAAAATACCAGTTGCTTAAATTTACATACTTATTTAGAATGTTAATAAGGATGAATTGGCCGTGATATTATTGATGAGCACATTGAGGCTTTGCACCTGTTTGGAGGGCAGCACGGCTTACTCAACCAAGTCCTGCAAAATTCGCCTTTTTTCAGGCAGAACCGGGGCTGGAGTTGATGTAAGACATCGCGAGATGCTAGATACGCTTCCTCTTCTAGTACTGGGGAGGCGATAGCAGTGGTAGCTAGGGCGAGAGGAATAATAGAGAATTTCATCCTTAGGGAGAAAGAGTGAAGAAATAAGAATAGTTTGTATTATGGAGTTACCTCTGGATAGGAAAAAGCAATAGAAGAACGATTTGATTGTATGTATAGGCGTAGGTGGGCAGTGACGTAGGTTTAAATATTCTACAGGGTGAGTCGCTTCAGCTAAAGCCAGAATAATAAGCATTCTAGCTTAGTAAATATTCTATATCTGTTATATATTAATAATGTTCTATTTAGTTCTTCTTAATATAGTAAATAGATTTTAAAATTAGAGACTATATTATAGTTTATAGTATGAAGTATATTTTACTTTATTTACTTATTAACTATATTATACAATATAACACTATTATAAGTTATATTACCTATGTTTAGCCTACCTCTGTACCACAACCTGATGACAAGCTACAGGTAATAACGGCCCTATTAGGTCTCAGGGCGCGTAGACAGCAAGACGTCTTATAAGCTGAAGTTATGGTCAGTAATCTAATAGTAGGGTTTCTGCTAGAAGTGTAGCTAGGGTAAATATTTAGTAACAGTATTAAGACCCTAACCTATGACTCAGACAACCTGTAAAGTTAGACCACACTGAGTTTTTTATATACAGCCTATATACTAAATACTATAAAACCAAACATATAACCTATATAAAACAATAATAATTACGTGACTTGTTTATAGTTCTGTTATGTAGGGAGTTATCCTTCTGTTAGTCTATAAGACGTTATGCTGCCTACGCTTCCAGGGCCTGGTGGGGCTGTCGGTACCTATAGTTTATCAGGTCGTAATATCTTGGATTAAATTTCTATTAAATTTTAGGCCTCTTTGAGGCCCCACCTTTCATATATTTCTAGTTTAATATATACACACACATACACAATTTATTACGCCCGCCGGCAACGCCGAAAGGGCTACTAAAGCTGACTACATGTACATTGCTGAGCTTATGCGTCTGTCTCCTTAAAGCCCATAAGTGCTGTCTCCATTTTCTACTTCCTCCGAATCTGCCTTCGTGCTGCGGATTCCCGTGGTATAGTTTTATTATTAGCATGCTGAGTGATCTGATGCAAAAGGTCAAAGTCACGGCTCTCACAGCGTGACATCATAGTAAAATCGAGGAGAAGAGAGCTCGCCTGGAGATAATCCGTGGGCAGCTGTTGTTCTACATCGCTGTTCCCATGGCCGCAAAAGTCAACAGAATCCCCGACATGGCAGCGATAGATACCCAGACCCGAACTTGTTTGGGCGAGATAAAAGCCGGCCAAAACGCAAACAGCGCGTTGGAGTAGCGTCTCTGTGCCTTTCACGAAGAACACGCCAACGTTCAGGCCAAGCGACACATCGAACTTGTCTCCATACTGAATGACATGCGTGGCTCCAAGACACGACCTGTCACCTCCGCAACGAGACGCAGCAGCGTCAAGCCCAGAAAACATCTTCTGAAAGACTTGCTCAATTCGCTTCACTTCCTCCAGGAGGTTGATCGCTTCTATAACACCCACCCCGCTTACAAGGGGGTATTTAAGTGAGTTTATAGCGAACCTCTATAAGGGGCAGGCAGAGCAACAAGGGCCAACTTCCGCGACTGGCTGTAGGATCGCCTAAGATACCACCATACATCTATACTCCCTCTCCATCTGTATGATTGGGCAAAAAGAACAACATACAACACCAGGTATTCGCTGGTCGTCACCGACCCAACTACTAATCCGGCCCTCACTGGCTTATCTATGGGAGAGCGGACGGGATCCCGAGTTTTCCAGTGGGTATGGTCGTATGTGCCGAAGAGATTTCTTCGTTAAACTTATATTGACCGAAGAAAAGGGCGACGAGGCTTGATGCCAGCATAACTTTGACGTGCATGTGGAGAAGGATAGTCGGACTAGTGTGGTGCTGGAGAAAGAATGGGACGCGGTATTGATGTCATAGCGAGCCGCCAGGATGGCTTGTCCCAATTAGACATCTACTCGCATTATAGATGTGGACCGCCGGCGAGGTGAGCAATCAACGGTGCCATATAGGGCTATGGACGCTATAGTTCTTATAAGATAGTATCTATCTGATTTGACTATCTGACCATTTCCTTCAAGAGGGTCCTAGTGACACGAAGATATACCAGTCGGCGAACGAAACTAGACATCAAGAATTTCCTCAGCAATCTAGCAAATGATCCCAGGAGCAGCGCAAAATGGACGTATTCTATCCCAACCGCCCTGTAGCACAACAACTTCCGTCATGTAATTGAAGATTATATCAGCATTAGCGGTCTCTTCCGAAGCTTTCAGCTCGTTTCCCGCCTCTCGATACCAATTGGCCATCATGCGCCGAATCTGCAAGGCCCTCGTTTGGCATTCCCGATCACCGTTGCGGAGTTTATCCGCGAGAGAGTTAAGTCGAGATTGCCAAATGTCGACTTTGCCTGAATCTTTCTCAATCTTGGACAGCAACTTGGAGGCAAGCACCAGGCCGTATGTCGTTCGCCCCCACTGAGGCACAGATTCAAGCTCGTGAGTTCGCATACAAATCTTCCGAGCCAACCTGTGTGTCAGAAGCTTGTCGTGGGCATGGTAGTGGGCGATGTACATATATTCGGTTAAAAATGTGATTGTCCGTTCGTCCGATGGCCCCAGCTGTGCTTCAGATATAGCCACAAGACTCTCATAGTTTGGTAAGACGTGGTCCGCGAGTTGTGCAGGCCAGTATTTCAGGAACCGAGCGGTCATTAGTAGCACTACCGGATGACAGTCCCCGAGATATTTGCTAAATGAGTCTATGCAGGCTTTGAAGACTCGCTCTAGCGCCAATTTCATTCTCTCAAGGGAGAAAGTGCGAAGTAAGTTGAGGCAATCCACCATGTAGCATCCAGACCCCTCCTTTTCCAGGGTCAGCCTGGCAAGTCTTGAAATCGTGTGGCCGACTAGATGATCGCTTTGAGGCGCCAGGCTTACGGATGGGACGCCTGCTTTCTGGTGTTCTATACGGTATGAAATACCTCGCAGGTAAAGAATGATTCCCCATAGATACACAGCCATCCAGGGGTCATTATACTGCTTAAGCTTGTCGATGTCTCTGAAAACGTTAAACAGCGTCTTGTGACATTTGTGTCGAGTCTTCATATCCCGTTGAACGAGGGAAGAAGCACCATGGCATTGGTCTGCCACCAGTTTCCACTTCAAAGAGTGGTCTGCGCGTCCAGGTGGGACAATTAAACCAAAAGAATCGCCTTTCCATCCAGACACAAGGTCCTTTGCAAGGCCTTGGTCGAAGAGGGCGCCGAGATAATCCGTTGCCGATTTAATCAAGTGACCCAAAGCTTTCATCTCGGCGTCAGGCCAGCCGGATAATGCCATTTCTTGCCATAGGAAAGCTGGTTTTCCACGGCATGCATTTGGTATGCTTGGGAAAGCCATAACAGGTCGATGTCGCTCAGCAAGTTGCTCGGTCGATATTCCTACGCGACTTTCCGCCTGATGCGATGATTGATTCTTGAATAGTCCCCACTCTTTGAATTTCTTCTTGTACATGTTGGGCCTATTATAGAAGGCGGGATCAGTCATCGTTTTTCTTTGAAAAGGCGAGTTGCCGTCCACACTCACGAAGGGCTGAATCCATGCACCTGGTCCATGTGCTGTACGACGGCATCCAACGGCCGACTCTGGATAATGTACAGATGCACGATAGGTCCTTTCATTGAATCCCACTCCTCGGGAGTGTATTGAGGTTGTCTGGTCGTGCGTCGTCTTCCTTTTGTTTTCCCTCCGGACGGCCCATGCGGCGAGGGCGCTGACTGTTCATTGCCACTGGGTCGAGCTTGATGCAACCTTGAGGGCTGAGATGGCTTTCTGGATGCTTTCCAGCTCTGGGCGGTTCTCGAGCCTGTATCAAAGGGGGCCGAGGAACGTAATCGATCCACTTGAGCAGGTTCATCCGTATCACTTGGTCCACGGATGGTATCGTGTGGTGTGCGTGGGGTGGCAGGTGCCAGCAGGGGAAGCTCGCTGCTCATGTTTGACTTCATGACAAGTGAATTTAGGTCTTGCCTGCAAGAAATTGAAAATCAAAACCTTGACAGCTGAATCCGGTTTCCTCGACCACTGGGTCAAACCATGAAGATGATGCGATGCACTTGGGAAGGTGGGGAGGGTATTTTGAAATGCAGAAAGGATAGTGACTTCAAACTGTGGATGAGGCAAAGGGATGCTTTCATGGTCGCAGCTGCGAACAGCGGGCGTGGAGATACCACCTGCAAGCCAGCATTCGATTACAGGTCGAACGAGCCAAATGGCAAAGTAGATACAGACGAATTAGGTGCTTCGTACACAGTAAAGTATCTATTCATGTGATTGGTTCGGGGTGCATTAAAGTTCCTACTAGAGGTAATTGGTCAGATGAACTAGGATGCCAGAATAACTGCATATGTCCCCTGCATTATCTTACGACTTACGGCACGTTGACAAGAAGCATTTGCTGCATGCAAACCATGGCTCCAATCATTCCAAGCCAACCTCAAACGATTCTCTCATGTGAACGCCGACTTCATGCCTTATTGGCTTGCCTCGTAAGATTAGAATCGGTTTTTTCTGCGTGTCTTATATGAGGGGCATTGGATGGGAGGCAGGCTTCTGAAAGACAGGACATGGTCCTTATTACAAATTTAAGTAGGCGGGGTGCTGGATGCCGTCTATAAGAAGTCTCAGCTTTCTTGAAGCTGCGTTCTTTTCTTTGCGACCTTGGTTTCACTCTGATCAAGCTTCATTCAGTCATACACCCGACGGCAAATAAACCCTCAAACAAACATTGTCATTGTGTTCTTTCTACAATCAAAAGCCCTCCCCCAACAATCTCGGCCCACAATGTCGAAATTTCGGTCAGAGAATTCTTCTACAGTCACTGGTTTCTCAAGCTCGTCGAGAATTAACCAATACGACTCCGAGAAGGAGATCAACGCAATGTATCTCACTCTTAAGAAGGAGATGAAGGTGTTCAAAAACGCCTCCAAAGAGTCCAAAATGAACGAGGGAAGACCTCTTCTAGCCAAGAACCGCAATCTTGTCGCAGTTTGCAGCTTTCGGGGTGCTTTTCGTCTCTCGGCAAGATGCAAAGACTTCAAGAAGAAGCGTCTCCAGTTCTGAAAAAGTATGTCCATGTTCAGCAAGTGGTGGCCCGAACTTGTTGTCAATTTCCTCATCTGTGATGGTCTTGGCCTGATGTTTCGAGAAGACACCCCGTCCCCTGTCATTGTAGCTACAGACGCCACACTTCAAGACGTACTCTACGACATTCGAGGCAATGGCGGATGTCACGAACTTGTAATAGTGGTCAGCGGCCACTTCGACTCGATATCTTTCCACGTGCCACGCACGATCAGGGTGTTGGTGGTGATTAGATGTGGATTTGGATCCAACATCAATCACCAGCTTTGTATCAGTGGTGATTCGAGTTTCAGAAACACAGAGCTTCAGGAATGGCAATATACACGACATAAGGGCATCCTGTACCTCGGTCCCGGTGTGGGAATCTCCATTGACCTTGATAGGGCACAATGGGCGCATGCTAGGCAAGCTTTTCAACGCGGTTTTACGGACAGCGAGAAGCGAAGACTTGAACGTCATTTCAATATGATGAGAAACAAGCCTAGGAATGGCGAATGGTGGGAGGAATGGAGAGGCAGAGTTGCGTCTATCATGGGCATACTTTCAGGAGGTGTCAAGCTTGCCGCCTCAGTCAAAGCTTCAGCAGGGGGTGGATTCTTCCATTTGCAATACGGTATGTTGAGTCTCAAAGCCGGTGGAGCATTCGTCAAAGGGGCTGCTATCATCTCGGCTGCCGGCCCCGCTGTTCTTGTTGGCGTGGGAGTCGCTGCTGCGATTTATTTTGTGCGATGGGATAAACCGTTCAGTTGGTTTGAACGTAGGTTTCCTTGGCTTCTCAACAAACTAAGGGACATTTGGTCAATCATTCAGAACTGGCTGTCAGTTTCCGAAGCACCTCCGCCTCCCCCAGCCTGGGATTGGGGTGGCAAAACGGAACACAAGACGCGAAGGCCGATGAGATTTCGATAACTGGACTAGGTATAGCTCTCATAGCTTTGTTGCGTTGTGGTTTTCTCAAGTCTTGTCATTAGTTAACCCCAGTCTAAATGAAAACCTGAAAATCGTCCGGCTTCTTGTAGATCTAAAATTCATAGTAACTTTTCTCCTCATCTGGCCTATGAACAAAGATAGCTTATAGCTCACTACCTAACTCACCTACTCCGAGTCCAAAGAATATGTATATTATGAGTAATCTCTATACAGCTTCAATATGGCGTCAGATCTGCATATATATACCTAAGTATGGTGATGGTTACCATACTGTTGACCTGTCAAGGGCTTATAGAAATACTCAGGCAACTCAAGGGAGACCCCCCTTTCACAACTCTGAGTGTGTATGGAGGAGACTGTAGGCAGATAGAGCCATCATATGTGGCAAGGTACTCGTAGAACTCTCAGAGGAGTCTGAAATTGTTGGTTGCTCTTAAGAGAACAATCTCACAATTTCACTATATATCATTACCAATTCGGCTACCTCATGTCTAACGACATTAGATTTCCTTTGTTTCGTGATTCAATTACGAGTGTGGTCACCCATGAGCAAATTGTCATGCCAACAAAAGGCCGACAACGGGAACAAGGCTTGTGGTATAAATCATCACACTTAAGCCAGTATGAGGTCCATCCGTCCTCACCCCACCTGACAGCTTCAGACCACCTCGAAAATAGTTGTCGCATCATTCTACCAGACGCCTCCGTATCGATAGTACTGGGTCAGGAACACTGCAAAGTGTTGACAGTTCCAGAAAATGGACAAGTATTTGCCCTTTGCCATGCAAATTTCAAGACTTTGTTTTTCTATCAGCCTGCAGCATCATAGAAAGAAACTAGACAGTTTACCTCACTTGCGCCCAGTCATTCTCTTTGTCTGTCAAGCCGACATCACAGATGGTCATGATCATACCCGAGCCTACTAGCCATCTTGTATTGTGGTGTACATCATTGCAGCTATGGATGGTTGATAGGAATACGCAGGTATGTTTCGATGATTGATTGAACCTCGAGATCAAAATTGTCTCTGACGGGGAACATCTGCTGAACCATAGGATTCATATAGTCGTGATTAGCATTCAAAATAATGCATAAGACCCAGTTTTCAGGCCTTTGACCAACATAGAGCCAAAGCAGGAGTCGCACAGCTATGTATCAGGGTTACTCGATTAGAACCCACTTTCGTCGCTGGTCGTTTGAACGACAAAAAAACGAGTCACGAGGTTCTCGCGACTAGAGCTTCATGAAAGCGGATGAGCCTTTCGTGGCTACTTATCTTATCATTTTAACACGATGGATTCGCGGTTGTGGGCACGAACAACGGGCACTCCGGGACCACCGGTATTCATTTTCTTGATATGACGTGGTAATTGACTTTGCATGGAGGACGTATATATTGGGGAACAAACACTCGTCTTGGTATGCATCCCGTGCTGACCGATATGCAGATTCACGAAGGAATCGCCGCGGGCAAGCAGCTTATGCAGCCGTTGTATGGAAGCGCAGCGATACTCTCGTACTTGTTAGGATGTTCTCTGGGCGGGCCACAGTGCATCAGGGCCGCACATATGTTCCCCAAAGACTATGACGGCATTGTTGCTAGCGCGCCCGCCATCGATGTCAACAAGTTCTATTCCTATCGGGCCACCATCCCCACCAGGTCAGGGACTGTTGGCTCAGTGAACTTATCACCCCTACTCTGTGGAAAACCAAAATACACGACGAGGTATTTCGGCAATGCGACAAGACTGACGGTGTAGAAGACGGTATCATTGAGGACTCTAGTCTATGCCAGTTCAAAGCAAGTACGCTGCTATGCCCGGACAGTTCTACCGTCGCCAATAGAACCGACTGTCTTGCGAGCGAGCAAGTCGACATCGTGAGATGAATCTTAAATCCCTTGAAAGATACGCAAGGCATTATGTACTGGCCGAGTATGAATCCGGGGGAGAGGTCCCCGCTGCAAACGGGCTGTGCAGCGGCACTCCCTGGCCGCTCTCCCAGGACTGATTCCGCTTCACCGTCTGTAACGACCCGGGCTGGAACCCGGAGACCTTCAATCTACAGATTGACGGCGGATTTACCGAACGGAAGAGCTCGGCCAACGTCAGGACGTATTCGGACAACCTCTCGGCGTTCAAGAACAAGGGCGGGAAGCTACTGGATTCCCACGGCCATGGTCCATCCAGACCAGCAGATCTTGAGCTTCCGCACGCCCATATTTTATGACCGTCTGCCCCAGGGCGTGAACCTGGACCAAGCCAGAATGAACGAGTTCACTCGCTTCTTCCACATATCAGGCATGAATCACTGCATGACGGGGCCCGGCGCGCGGTTCATCGGCCAGGGTGGCGGCATTGACGTCGCTATCGCCAGAACTATATCTTTTGACAGGGAGCATAATGTTCTTGACGCCAGTGGACGGGGTCGAGGACAGGGTTCCTCCTAAGACCACCACAAGGACCAAGTTTGTTAACAATACAGCGGCCTTGAGTATCGATTTTCAGCGTCAGCATTGTAGGCACCCACTACGGAACACCTACAGGGGTGGAGGACTAATGTCAGGGAACTCAGGTGGTGTACTGAGCCCGTCCATAGACCATTCAGGCAAATACCCAAAAGATCAACTAATGTTGGCACTTCGTGCCAGCATTGCACCACACATACACTTATTAAGGGAAGTCCCCACTTATTCCCTTACAACTGAATCCCAAGTACCCGGATAGCTGGACGTGCAAAGCTCCTTGATCCAAGCGGCCGGGATTGGAGTAACCATAGTAGGATAATTCGAGTCTTGCCGCGATATGTTCGGTACATATAGTAGGTGGATAATTAAATGCTGGCCATCTCTCGCATCGGAGGCCTTACTGTCTCATGTCTCGAAGACAAACGCCACCTTGATCGGGATGTCTCGTGGAAGGGGACAGTGTTCCCAAAGACCAAAAACTAGAAAGAAAGAGGAAAAAAGAACCGCCCCCCCCTCCCAAAGTAACCTTGGAAATTAATCAAGAGGTTTAGCAATCAAGAATTTAGACTTGTAGTAAGCCTACAGGTATGCGTTGGGTATACACTTAATATTTATACTGATCCACAACATTTTCTAGAACCGTCTATCTTTGCCCCTTTTTTCCCGTGTTCTCCGGCGTGTGACAAGGATTGCAGCTTGGATGTGTTGTAGAAAAGTGATGTTAGAAAGTTTAATTCCGTAAGGGTAACAGACAGCATTCAGACATTGGTTACAGTGGAGCCGATCTCTATGTTGATTAGGCATGATGCTTGGTTATACTGTGTTTCGCTACAATGTTAGGTAGTGTGCGTCCATATCAGGTTCAGGTAGGTATATGATTAAAAACAGAATATGTGCATAAGCTGGGATGCTGCGCTATACCTAAGAATAGATAGCAACTTCCGTTGATCCCCCTCATTCTGGGTGGGTAGGTAGTTGGCATTTCTTGGAAGCAAGGATGTGAAACATGGAAGCGAGTCATATCTTGATTCATCGGCGTCCTTCTTTTTCACGAACGTTCACGGACTTTTAGAGGAGGGAATTTTCCCGCGCGCCCTTTACTATTGATCTACTGATACTCGAACCACTGCGGGATACTCACACATGATCTATGATCCCTACAACACAAGTGGTGGAAGACTGCCGCCTGCGGAACTCAATTTCAACAACAATGCCCAACAACTACCCGACCATCGTCGATGGAACCTGGTCTCATCTCAAAGAGCTCATCGCAGATGCGCCGTGCTGGAGCTGTCGGCGGAGGAGAGTTCGGTGCGATGCAATCAGGCCCGCATGCGTAAAGTGCACCAGAGCAGGCATCCAGTGCCTGGGTTATGGACCGACAAAACCGTTGTTATGGGTTGGAATGCCTCGCCGAGCCAAAAAGAATTCCAAATCGCGGGCCGACACCAGGAAAACTAGGTACACCGACACAGCTACCAGTCAATTCAGGCAGACATGTGAAATAGCGATACACATAGCAGACGAAGAGCTTGTAAGAATGATCTCACTGTAGACAGATCTTGCTGTTGGGAGTGTTCTGCTAACAAACACAAGATCACTTCAGAAGCCTTTGACGCCGTCCCAACCCTTCCACAAGCAGACACGGAATGCCAGATACTGAAAATCCCGACCAACCCCTTGGTTGTCAATTACGGCCTACAGTCTTTAGAGTACATTCAATACTGTAAGTTCTCAACCGCCCCGCTCCATAGAACGTAATCTCACCCAGGTTCCAAGACGAGCAAAGATGTTGTATAGAATGCAGCATTTACGAAGAGAACTCTGTCAACCCGTTTCGGCAATTTCTGCCATTGATTCAAAACAGCCCTCTAGTCCATCACACAATTGTCTCCCTTGCGGCGCACCACCGAGCGCGTGGGGCCACACCCTTAAGATGGCTAAAGAGACTTAGCTTTCCTCCCCATGACGCAAGTGAAACAATTCCGTCACGCGATGACGCCGTACCTCTTCAGAGTCTCATTTCCACGCATTATTCCAGCGCTCTTTCTCACAAAAGACGAGCGATACAGAACTTGCGGCAGGCTCTGGCGGCTGCGGACCACTCAGACTCGGTCGTGGTTTCTACTCTACTACTGATTTGGGTGGAGCTTTTGGATTCGGGGTATCAATCCTGGAGACATCACCTGAGCGGCATGAGGGGCCTGATAATCTCTCGGACTAGGTCGTCCCACCCTGTTGGCAAAGACGATTCTGCTCTCACACCGAACATGGTCTGGAATTTCAACGACTACCTGGAAGAGGCATATGTCATGTAAGCTACTCTTCAAATCGCAGCTGACCGAGACAAACACTGATAGTATGCAGTCTCCAAACGTTCGGGTCGACCCTGAGTAAAGAGAAGATGGATCTATCAGGGATGTTTGGGGAGACGTCTCTTAAAAACATCTTACTGAGAGCTGAGATGAGAAGTTGGACAGGCTGCCCAGCGGAGCTCATGCATGTGTTATGCAGTTTCAATAGCCTTTGCACCAATGGGTCTGCTGCGGGCCCCTTGGCCCCCGAGCTGAAAGACCATGCCGGAAAACTATTTGACCAGCTAGACCGGTTCTCCTGTTGGGATTGGTCGACAAGTTATCCTGAACCAAATTACGTCGAGGAGCGGTACCATTTGGCATGCTCTTACAAGGCTGCTATCAAAGTTTACGGACGCCGTGCCCTGCTGGGGAGCGATTTCGAGCCAACAGAAATGAGAGAAATACTCGAGGATGCTATGTATCACATGAAGATGATCGACCCACAAGATAGCCACTTCAAAGGGTGTCTCTGGCCAGCCTTCGTTGTGGGAGCTGAAGCGAGCGATCCTGCTCATCGCCTAGCCGTCACAGATATCCTTATCCACATGTACGGCCTGCTTTATACCAGGACCATTGAACGAGGCCTACATGCACTGGAGCGTATTTGGAAGTGGAGACAATTGACGGAGGATCGCATCTCATGGATTGTCTATATGTATGAAGACGGCGAGGAATTATTACTAGTCTAAACAGTTGTATATAATGCTTGTTATTCCTGGCCCGTCATTTGTGAGAGCCCTCGTTTCCTTGACGCAGAGTGCTGTCTGATCCTGCAGCACCTAGTCTTTCGAGTTCTTCTCGCTCGTCGGCTGTCATATCCCCCTTGGCTCTGCCAACTCTGATGCCGAAGACTATAATCAGTATGGAGGCACCCGCACAGCCTGCTCCCATCATAAGGGCAATCTTGTAGCCTGACTCTAGGTTCTCACGAGCCTTGGCAACCGACACCAAATCAGCCCAGCCGAGGAAGAAGCTCATACCCAAAAAGAGGAGAGCGTTCACGCAAGCACCCGCCATGCCCTGCTGGTCGCTCTTCATGCTCGTGGTGATGAAAATGTTGCTGACATTATACATGATGTCGATGCCGACAGTGGCACAAGTCATCGCGGGGAATACCCAAGCCCAGTAGTTGGGATCGCGGGGAATGAATATGAAGAGAAGGGAAGAGACAAGGAACCCGACAACTGATAGAAGGAGCAATATGGTGCCCGTGAGCTTATGGAGGACGACAGAACCGACAATGGCGATGATAATGCCGCCAATGGCCAACGGCGCAAACCAAGCCGCGGCAAGAAGAGGTTCGATGTGAAGGATGGTCTCGATGCTTCAATCATAGTTAGACTTTTGGTCTTGAACACACAAAGAACCATTGGGTGGTTTCTATGTGGATGTGAGAACTTACTAGAAACTGGCGTAAAGAAGGTAAATACCAAAGCTTCCGAATGCAATAAAAAGGCAACAGAATAGAGCAATGGTATATCTTGGTGCGAATAGCTGACCGGAAAGGAGAGGTGCAGGGGAGACCCAGCCCTCAACGTAGACGAAGGCAGCGAGGAATACTATACCAAGGAGAAAGGTGACAAGGATCTGTGGCGAAGCCCACCCCTTCTCAACATGAGGGCTATCCGTGATGGCATAAACTAGCAGCATCAAGCCAGGAATGGAAGTTCCACAGCCCCACCAGTCCATGGGCATCCGAGCCGGGTACATCTGCCTCGGGACGCAGAAGAAGATAAGCAGGCAGACAATGGTCAGCAGCATACAGCCGATCCAGAAGAACCAGCTCCATCGGAGAAACTGGCCGCTGACGCCGGCCACAAGGATACCAGAGAAGAATCCGAACGGAGCGCAGCCTCCGTAGAGACTGAAGACAAGGTTTTTCCGACGACCTGGTCGGTAGACACTGCCGAGAAGGGAGATGCCAGACGGCAGAAACGCGGCGGCTCCCAGGCCCTGGAGTGCACGGCATACAACGAGCATGACGTAGTTTTGGCTGAAGCCGCCTATCAACGACCACGTAGCCATCCATACATTGCCTGCCAGGAAGACCGCGAAGCCACCATGCATATCGCTGAGCCTGCCGAAGGGAAGGAGAAAGGCACCAGCGACAAGGGAGAAGACGCTCGACGGCCAAGTCTTATCCTCAGGCGAGAAGTTGAGGTCTTTGATGAGACTTGGGAGTAGTACATTGAAACCGCTAATCAGGAACTCCTACAGTTTTGAACCATCCCATGTCAGTATGCATAAGGAATGAAAGACAGCAGTATATGTGTGACAATAGAAGGCTAGTAAGCCAATCGGAATGTATATTAGAGTGACAAACCGCCATAATGTTGGAGAGTAAGATGGACGCGCAGAATCCGACTTCCTGCAAAGTGCTGGTGAAGACCTGTGGTCTTTGTCGGCCGAGCCTTTCTTGTTCTTTCTCATCAAGAATAGCCACAGAGACCCTTTGGACCGTCCGAGCAGCACCATTGTCCTCGGGCGGGGCGAGGGTCACCGTCGTGTCTGGGGTATTATTGGTAGCCATCGAAATCGGCGAAGCCAGCCTGCTGACCATCTCATTGATATCGAATGAGTGTATAGTACAAGCCGCACAAGGAGTGAAAGCGACAAGGACGGAAATTCGGAATGACAAGGCGACTAACAACAGGTTGAACGATCGTTTTGAAATAGAGCTGGAAACACAAATTAAGCGCCAACTATGGGCAGTTAAATGGTTGACCCATCGTAAGGGACCGGGATAGTGCGGTGAGCTGCTCGGAACCGTTGCGGAACTGTTGCGGAACTGAGCTCAGCGTTTACAGACCTGCTAGAGTCTATCGTTGTATTTCTCGAATCGTGATACTACTCCACATTTCCTCATACAACCGTAACGGCCACTGGAGGCCGAGAGACGGAAATTGCTTGGATACGCTAGTCCCGAATAGGCTCGAACCAAGAGAACCTCAAACAATGGATAGCCGACTTGGGGCATTGGAGCCGCAATAACACCATGACAAGGAACCCGGTCCAAGGGTCCATCCACCAGTCGAACGATCCCGAGTCACGAGCAAAGCTTGAGCATACAATTCTGGAGGGCTAAGCTGTTAGCCGGCAGCGGGAACACATCCGGGGCTAGACGGGTAGGTTAACGTTAATTATGTTATTATATGATCGCGCGCCCATCATTCAATGTTTGACAGGTGTCTAAAACAGCATATACTAATTGTCCGGTACTCGACGATGACATGGGTACAGTTAGCTTCACCACAGGGCACCCTTGTACGCTCGTCTGAGTTCAATGCAACCATCGCTATATGTGTGCTACCCTTTGCTACAATCGTACCGCCTGATTTTATAACTATGGCTGAGCATTGGTCGTGGGAAGGGTTGTTCTGCTCTAGGATCATAAACCCGTGATGCTGGCACATCTCAACTGTTCTCTTCTTTCCCAGTTATCCTTTTTTTTTTTAGCTTTTCTTTTTCGTTCCGTTTGTTGTTGCTGCAAGGAGCTTTCCGCTTCATTTCGGTTTTTTCCTTCTCTTCGTTTTCTTTTTCTGTTTTTTCGTCTAGCTTTCTTTCCATCTTTTGGTGCTTTTATCGAGCAGGCCTCGTCAACGCACACCGAAACCCGTGATATTCGACCATAGCTACGCCATCGCTATGAATGCCTCAGCCAACTTGCGAAAGTCTTACATACGCACGTCGGTGCTCATCCCGATACCTCCGACGGATCCAAATCTGGGGGACTCGACCGCCAGGCGAAGGACACTCGGGTCCCAGGTTCCCAAAGTTGATGATGCACAACGACAGCAAATAGTCCAGGCGCTGAACTACCTCGAGTACCAGACGCGATGCACTATAGAACGGGGGGATTCCCTGCCTTCCCCCATCAAAGAGTACTCCCTCGAGAACTCGACCGTCGAAGTGCAAGGATCCCGCAGCTCGCAGGCCAGCCGCATGCTCACTATATACCCGATTAAAGACATGAACTGGGTCGTCACAATGCTGTTCGTTGTCGGCAGTGTCGTCTTTGTCATCAACGGGGTCCTAGGGCTACTCCCGTTCATAGACCCGGCCCTCGCTTTCCCAACCCTCAACACTGTTGCTCTGCCAAGCACGATTCTCATAGGAGCAGCCATGTTCTTGACGGGAGGAACGCTTGGTATCTTTGCCGCCTTCAATGCCGATCGCGGCACTCTAGAGGAGACCGGTGGCAAATCGGTCGAAGACGGCGCTAACGTCATATACCGTCCAGCTCTCATCGGCTCCCCGGCCTGGGTCTGGATACCGAGCGCAGCCGACGCCGCTGCCGCATTTAAAACGCTCCCGTTCCAAGCCGGGTTGATGCAGCTGCTTGGCGGTGTGATTTTCACCATACCCGCCGTGGCCAACGTCCCCGGGCTTCTCGACCCGAACGACCTCGCCACAATCCAGATGCTAGTTTTCATGCCTCAAGTGATTGGAGGCTCGTTGTTTTTTGTCGCCAACTTCGCGCTCATTATATTCGCGCAGGAAGCTTGGTACAAGCCCAACTTTGGGTCCTGTGAGTGGCAGGGCGCGTTATGGAACACCATGGGCTCGTCCGGGTTTGCCATCACCGGCATATTGCTATTGCAGGGCGATTTTTTCGGGGCCTCAGTCATAGCCTTCGCTGGAAGTTTTGCTTTTCTTATCGGGAGCATCTTTCAGTGGTATGTCCTGATGGAGTTCCATGCGACACCTTGGGCATCTTGAGCGCATTGCTCTTGGCAGCCGCCAGCAGGGCCTTATGTGAGTCATGGGTACTGGGTCGATTACTCCAGAAATGGATCATGTATTCCACAATAGGTGACTCTCTCTTGTATGCATATCTGGACATAGAGAAGTGGTACGATTGGGTCACAAAATGCGATGGAGGTGCCAACGTCCCATTGAGCGCAGGCTCACCAAAAGAAATTACCAAGTCCGTGAAAATCATCTGCCTATTTCTACATACCAACTGTTTGTCCCCCTCTTTTCTACTGCTACCTGAATAACGTTGACTGGTTCAGCCCTCATACTGACTATCTTTACAGGTGGCTACAGATTACACCTGGCACAATGAAGATGGATCCCGATGCGTCCCAGCGACATGCCCACATACCATTCCCTCGTAACGATCAAGGCAATCGTTGACAAAATCAGCTAAGCGGCCGTCGCAGATGCCAGCACCGAGAAACACGGAAAGTCCCAGCTGGCGCTTTATCCCGAGCTCTCCGCTTGTTTTTTGGTCGTCACCACGGCCACCTCAGTCGACTCAGAGGCCTCCTCTGCGGCCACGGCCGCCTTGCCCTTGATGCTTGTCCAACTCAAGCTCGCCGCCGCGACAAAGGTGCCGGCCGCACAGCCCACGGATATAAAGTACGAGTAGCGAAGGCCGGTCAGGTACGCGTTGAGCACGGCATCGAGTGCCTGTTCCTGGTCGAGCTGGGCGAGGATGCTGCGGATCTGGTTGGCACCGCTGTTGATGACCAGTTGGCCGTCCAGTGGGGGGGCATCGCGCTCGATGTCGCGAATGAGGCCATTCTGAAAGACCGTCTGGGCAACGGCGATGAAGATGGAACCGCCGAGGCTCTGGAAGAGCTGGACACATGCGCTCGCAACCGGCACGTCCTCGAGAGGAAGCGTTGCCTGCACGACGGGAATGGGGACCTGGATACCGGCGCCCTACTATATGATGCATTAGCTTCTGCTGTTCGTTCATGTCCTCCCTTGTCCAACCTGCGGCTCATGGGGGGACGCATGTTATGTGACCTCGGGCCGCACATGGCTTTCGCCCGTTCAGTTCTTCGTCGACAGACTCCTGCCCGGTGGTGCGACCAGACGACGTGACCTCAATAACAGCATAGGGAGGGGTTCATGTCCACCCCGGTTGACATGGTTGACTGCAATGTTGGCCATGTCGACTCACATGATATGCAGATGCACAATGGCAAGCAAGCTGCAGAGAAGTGCAGGGGCAAAATGACCAAGTCTTATTTTAGAGGACATGGGTCCTACATCCACCAGTCTACCTTGTTGGTGCCGTCCATGTACACGAGGCTCGGGGTGGCTAGTCTGACATCCTCTTCCCCAGGAGAGCTCTTTCGTCCCAAAACGTCCCATACCGTTCGAGCTCTGGACTGCTTTCCGTGCCTTGCACATCCGAACCAGGACTCGGGTGTGTGATGCTGGTTAACGTGATCATAGCTGCCGCAACGTCCCGGATAAACCCGCGCAGGTCCTCCTCTTGTTGTATACACATGTCGTCGTACTCGACGCGTAGAAGGACACAGTCGCCCGCGACGACGGTAAACTCGCACATAACTTTGAACTTGGCCCCAGAGGACCACGCAAAGCAGGGCTGCAGGGTCGGAATGTCCACCCGGAGCTGCTGGACCATGTCCGGTTCGTGAAAGGAGACCATGACGTCGAAGAGTGGGTGGTCGGGGTAGTCGGGTGTGTAGCTGGCGAGGCCCAGGAGCTGATGCCACGGAATCCCACGCGCGAGTGCGGCCTGCGTCGACTGCTGCACCTCCCTCAGCAGCGAGGCAGGCATGTTGCCGGCGAGCGCGTCGCCGCCGTGCCTGATGCGCACGAGGATGTTGTTGTTGTTGTTATTTAACGCCAGACTGTACATGTAAAGGACAAAGGGCGCCTAGGGTAACTAACTTTAGTAATAGCTAAATATACACAAGTCTAGGATTTAATCTACTATAACTGTTTCTCTGTCCTTAATATAAGTATTTATATACCTGCTGCTAGCGTCCTAGGAGTTTTAACTTAATTATTCTTTACTATTAAGTGCCTATAGCTCTTTAGTGTCTAGGTTCTATATAGTTTCCCCTAGTAAGCCTATATTATATATACTTCCTAGGGGTTTTCATATATTTAGTTATATAGTGCTAGGCATATATCCTTGTTAAGAGAGGGTATTTCCCCTAAGCCTATTTACTATTAAAGTATATTCTACTTTATACTAAATAGTTAAAGTTTCATAAATAGATAGTAGTAGTAGATAAAGTAGTATTATATACTTAATACCTTTATCTAGGTTAGCTATAAGTAGCCTAGGTGTAGGCTATCCTTGCTAGACAAGTGCTAGATTAAGTCCTCCTTAGGGCACTTATAATAGAGCTTATGCTACTGCCTCTCGCTATAGCTACCTAATAAACGCTTACACTAGTAGCTAAAGCTACTATACGTCTAGGGGTATATAATGTAGCGTTAGTAGCGTAAGTAATAGGTTAAGTACACCTATATCCTTGGATATATCTTAGTGTAGAAGTTGTTGTTGTTTACTAGAGAGATGAACTTTTGAAACTCCCCTGCCAGTTGCTTTATTAGGTAACTCAACTACCCTACTTCCGGCTACCCCCCACATCCGGCCCATCATCACCACCACCATCACCACCACTATCACCACTTATTTCACCACCTCTGCCGCCCACCCATATGCAACTTCTGGCCTCACTGGGTAATTCGGATGCGCTGGATTCATCCGGACTATCCATATCGCCAATATCCGGGGTTTACGCCCACCAGATATCATATATAGTGGCAAAGGTGCTATTAGGCAATAGGGGGACCTTTTTCCTCTTGTGTTACCGTAGGTCATCCAACTTGCCCTCTAGCTAGCAGACCTTTTGCTCTAGAAACGTGTTTCTAGATGCCTACTCATTATACCCCTTTTGCATCTTTCTAGATAGGTAATAAATAGTATAGGCATTTAACTTATCCTCTGCTAACTAGTTTAACTAGCGTAGTTAATGCTGTAATTTAGTAGACTAACAAGGGGTTGACTATAGGACAATAGATATGGCTTTATCCCACTGTTGGCTGCTAGGCTAGCTAGGCTGGCTAGTCTATTAGTCCTTAGTAACCATAGGGTTAAATAAAGGCTACTATATACATATTAGCTATAGTCCAGCTGACCTCTAGCCACTTCTAACGTTCTAGACTATTATAGCTACATCTCTGGCCTTTATATAACAGGCTAGAAACGCCCTTTTGCTAGCAACAGTTAAATCACTAACCTAGTCATCTAGATATCTAACCTCCCTTTAATAGGCATGCTTTAATAGGCTAAAGACTAATATATCCAGTGGCTAGAGGACAGCAGAGAAGTACAGCAGTAGATATAGTAGATATACGTTGTTCTAGAAGCATTCCTACATGAAGTCTATTAATATATAGCTATAATGCCTATCTAGAACCAGCAGTCTAGCTACCTCTAGCTTACTAGGCATAGTGCCTAAGATAAAGACCTTCTTTAGCCACTTAAGGGCAGTCTTCTTAGTTATCTAGCCATTATCTGTATATACAAAGTGCTATCCTTTATATCCAGATAAGTTAAATAGGAACCACTAGGCCTAGACTAATTTACCCTTATATATAACTAGTAGGTATAGGGACCTCCTATTAGCAGCCACACACTCAATAATAGAGATCTATGCCCAGGATCCTGGCTACTTTTTTTGGATATACTGCAATGCCGCAGAGCCTAGCACTAGCCCATTAGATCCCCTGCCCTCTATAATGCCAGTCTTATCTATATTCTATTAGTTAAATAGATGGATTCCTTAGATAACAGAGATGCTAGTTAGAAGCTAGAAAAACCCCTAGATAACCTTAGAAGAATAGGCCTTCTATCGCTAGGCATTAATTGCTCTAGATCAATAGGTCCTAATTAATGGGTTTTACCACAGGAATCGCTGTATCTATCTCTTGCCTAGAGGTTAATAGGTATTATAGGTATCACCTAGCATACGCTCTACTAGGCCCTTTAGTTGTTAATAGGTAGGTCTATTACCTAGGGCATACTAGGTTTGCACCCATCCAGCTAGATAATCCTCCTAGGCTTAGGATAATTGCTGCATATGGTTATAGGCAGTATTTTTGCTTTACTGCCTATAGAATCAGTATCAAAGTGTCTAGTATAGTATAGCCTATTTCTAAGCAGCGTGGCAAATAAAGCAACTATCTACTATATTATTAAGGGCCTATTGGAGCTTATCTTTAGTATATTACTTTATTATAGGTTAAAGAAGGTATCCTAAAAAAATTACGTTGTTTAGATGTAAATAGATAATGTTGTAATAGTTTAAAAAAGGTAGTGGTGTTAATAAAGGAGGGGATTTTTAGATGTCCAAAGGTAGGGGATGTCCGGTTGCAGGGTAGTTGAGTTACGTCTGTCCGTTGAAGTGACTGTGTCAAGGGCACACTTGTAGCAGTCCGCTACGAGCTACGCGTCCCGGGGGCGGTATCGGCTGGAGTGCATGTCGATGGTGACGAGTGATGCATCCTCGACCGTCACGCTTACGGGGACTCGCGAATGCTAGCTGTCCGAGTGTCCGATGGGCATGGCTAGATACGCACACGAACTCGCCGCCGGCGCCTTGGACAGCTATATCTCTACTGACAGGGCCGACTCGTAGTCACGCCGGAAGCCGTCGTCGGTCGACGTCCATGTCAGGCCCTCCAGGGTGACCGTGTCGACAAACAGGCCCCAAATGAACTCTCGAAGCGTCGCCCCTCGGCAGACGGCGACATGGAGCGGGAGGACGTTGATGACGGGCCCAACGACATCCAGGAACCCCGGGAGATTCAGCCCTCGGCCGCTCAGGACCGAGCCAAACACGATGCTGTCGTGATCGGTGTACGTGGCGACGACGAGCGCCCAGGCGGCGTAGAATATGGCAGCAGCGGTGGCACCCAGGCTCCTGGCCCTCGTGTCGATGGCTGCAAAGTCCACGGCGAAGTGCATCCGCTCGACCTGCCGGGTTTCGAAGCGGTGAGCTCGAGCCGGCTCCGGAAGCACAAAGAGACCCTTGGCATTGGCGTGCTTCTCTGTCGTCTCGGCCCAGAACCTGTCCCCGTCTGGCTTGTTCTCCTCCTATTGACGCCGGAGCAGCCGGGCCCAGTCCCAGAACGAGGTCCCCGGCATCGTCGTCATGCCATTGGCCCGGGCTCTGACCTTGTGGACGAGGGCACGCAGGGAGTAGGCATCGATCAAGGCGTGGTGAATGTTGGCCGTGATCTCCATGACCGCCAGGCCGTCGCCGCCGGACGCCTTTTCGGCTCTGCCCCGATCGAGCGTCCACCCCGGCCACTCCTCGCTGTTGAGGCCAGCCGGTCCCTCGGGGGCCAAGTCGGATGTGGAGATGCCCGGACTGCTCTCGTTGAAGAACAGAGGCCCGAGGCAGGACTGCTCAAAGATTGCCTCGTCCATCAAGAACTGCATCCACGCCTGTCGGTGCCTCTCGGCATTTTCGGGGTGGTGGGTTTCCGTGTAGGTGATGATGTTGGAACCGCAGTGCGTGATGGTCTCGTGGGCAAGAGAAAGCTGCAGCTCCGTGAAAAGGTGGCAAGGTCGTTGCGGCGGCTCGCGCTGCTTGACAGAACCCTCGATTGGAACGGCGCTCCCGTGCTCTCCGTCGTGTAAAGGGCCGCTACCGGTCCCCTCCCCTGCCTGCGCATCTGCCTCCGGGCTGTGCGAGGCCCCAGCACACTCCGAGACCGGGACTGAGACCGATGAGCACGCCGTGGAGGACGCGGGCTCCGGGGAGCAAGTTGCAGGGTGAGAGGTGACTGGCAACGAGACCCATGACGTATCCACGTCTCGGAGCCGCGGTCCGCATGCGTTTCTGAGAATATCTCCGATTGTAGGCTTGGTTAGGAGGTCCTCTCGCGTGACAGTATAACCGCGCGAACGCATCATGGACTGTAGTAATATGGCCTTGAGTAAGTCCCCACCGTTGACGACAAAGCTTACTTGGAGGTCTATCTTTCCAGGTGGTGTTGCCAGAACCAGGGCGGCACAGCCGACAAGGTCCAGGGCCATCTCGCCCTCGGGATCAGCGGAATCCATCATGGGCAACAGCCGCATTCGTTCTGGGAGTGTGTGAGAATCCAACAGCTGTGTGGTTCAGGGGCGGGGGGACGAGGAACTAACTGATAGTCTTGGGCGAAGGATGTTCTCTAGTGGGCGGGACGAGGAGGAGCCGAACGTCTGTCTAGTAGGACGTTTTTCGACATCAAAGCAGGTATAACTCATCAAGGGGGAAGCATTTTGGTACACGGCGGCCCTTGGCCCTGTATAGTATCGCTCAGTGTTCCGAACGGGGGCCGGCCTGTGGCTAAGGGGCTCGGAAGCATGGTGCCCCTGGGCACCCCGACACTACGGTTACTGCTGGTTTCCGGCCGTTTACAGGGACTTTTGGACTTGGAGGTCATAATTGGAAAGCAATCGGGCCGCTGGTAATCACGCCGTAGGGGCCAGTCTGGTGAGCTCTATCGCCCACCACCAAGGCCCGCTCTGCGCGTGTTGCAGCGTCACAAACGACGACAACAGCAACAGTAACTACCTCGTCGACTACCATGTGATCAACAATACATTCATCCAGATCGAAGAGAAACGGCCTGCATGCGCCAGAAAGTCTTCGAAGCCAAGATGCTAGGTCCGGCTTCTCTGGGCTTGACGCATCCTGCCCGCCTCGGAAAGAATCGTCTTCTGTTCCTTGGTCCACACCTCGGGATGCTCGTCGAACAAGATTTCAATGTCCTCTGATTCCATCTCCCTGGCCGTCTCCTCGGCCCTCATCAGTACGCGGATCAGATTGAGTCCCAAGATACCGGCCAGCTCCTTCTCGCCCCGTCCCCGCCGGATGAGTTCGGCCACGAGCTGGGGGTGTTGTGAGACGTCTTCCATGCCCTCAGGGCCCTCGAGCATGCCTTCAAAGTCTGAGCCGATGCCGACGTGGTCGTAGCCGATCCTGCGTCCCACGTGCTCGACGTGGTCGGCAATGTGCCCGACCGTTGGCTTTGACCCGTCCCCTGCGCCGACAAGGGACGGCAGGAAGCAGATCATGATTATGCCGCCGTTTTCTGCCACCTTGTCGAGGGCCTCGTCCGTCACGTTTCTCCGGTGGTTGCAAAGGGAGAAGCTGCGGTAGTTGAAAAGTCACACATCAGTTAGTTATCGGGTACACCCCGGCATCGACGGGCTCGCTGAGACTCGCCATGAAGAGTGTGAGAAGAGGACCGGAGCCCTGGAGAGGGCCAAAACGTCGAGTTGCGTCTGGGGACTGGTGTGAGACAAGTCCACCATCCTGGTTGGCAGTTGGGTTCAGTCAATGTCAGCTAAACGAACGCCCGCAGCGCCGCCGAGGCTTTCCGGTGGCGGCATCACGGCCCAGCCCACGGAGTGGCACATACATTCCGATCCTGTTCATCTCGGTGATCATCGCGCGGCCCTCGTCCGAGAGACCTTTGCCGGCGGACGCCTCCGCGTTCTGCTGCGCGCGACACGGTTAGAAAAGCAGCCCCTTGAGCGCGAAGCTCGGGGCCGAGGCAGGCACGCACCGCCGACTCGCAGTAGATGTTCCTCTTGTCATGGCACAGAGTGGCGTAGCGGACGCCGAGACGGTGCTACATGCGGAGGATGCTGGCGCTCTTAGCGATCTGATGCAGGCCTTCGATCCCGAGCAGGCTGGCAATGCGCCCACTCCGGAAAACGGGCAGTATGTCGTCGGCCCTGTCCACGAAGCCAAAGTTGGCAGGATGTCTCTCGAATAGGGCGTGGAGCAGATCGATCTGCTGCAGCGTGGCCCTCAGAGTCTCCAGCTGCGGCTCGGTGCCGGCGCCGCCTTGGTCCGGGTCCGGCACAAAGGCGCTCCAGAATTGACAACCGACCTGACCTTCTCGCAGACGCCTCACGTCTGTCTGGCCGATGGGCATGTCCTTTATGGCGCCCTCGCTGGCGTGGTCAATCCGAGCCAGCCACGGAGCCAGCCACGGAGCATCCATGCAAAGTCATTGTGGCCGTCTGGAAGGGGAGGGGGGAGGGGGAGGGGGCATGTCAGCGACACGGCGTGGCGCCGACGGTCTAAGGGGCCGGGTGGAATCAGCGGCAATACACCAGCCAGCGGCACCTTGCGCATGAGCTCCCGGACTGCCGACTCAGCATCGTCCGTCTGGAAGTCGGATCCGCTCATGGTCGTCGTGTGGTTCAACTATTACATGACTGGCTGCGGAGCTGCCATCCGGAACATGAGTTGGGAAGAACCATACCACCATCAGTCAAACAATCACACTGCTCCGCCGTCACACTGCCACACCCGCCGGTGGATGGTATCGTGGTACAGCCACATGGTTGTAAGGGAATAAGGGGGGACTTCCTTTAATAAGTGTATGTGTGGTGCAATGCTTCTTTTGGGTATTTGCCTGAATGGTCTATGGACGGGCTTAGCACACCACCTGAGTTCCCTGACAATGGTCCTGAACAGGACGTTAACGGCAGCCGCTGACCACCTCGGCCACGACGCGGCCCGATCCTTGACGTGCCTCATGACAAAAGTCAAACCCGGGACGCAGAAGGCCAGGAACGCGCGGACAGCCAGGAGCTCGTGCAGCCAGCCGATCACTGGCAGCTGGTAGGCCGGTAGGTCGCGTAGATAGTCGACATACTCCCCCGGCAACCCGCTCTCCTCAGCACCCCCCACGATAAGATCCTGCAGAGTAGAAACAGATAGATTAGCCTCCTGATGGATGCATGGCGCAGCCGTCCAGGCCAAAAGCGGTCACCTACGCACCATGTAACGTCGACTGGGCAGTCGCAGGGAATCAAAGGGGCTCTTGGCCACCAGTGTTTACGCGCAGTCATTACTGGGGTCAGTTCTGGCAACAAGGCAAATGGCACCTGCTCCAGTACACTCTCCAGATCCAGATGGGGTTGTGCAGGTACTTCCGGAGGGGCAGTCATTACTGGTGAGAGGTTTGGTAACAAGGCAAAGACCTGCTCCACTACACTCTCCTGTTCCAAATGAGGTTGTGCAGCTTTGAGCTGTAGTAACAGTGGCTAATACGGCAGAAACCATGTAGATCGAGAGCTTCATGCTGAGTGAGGTTCTTAGAGCAGTATGTTGCTGTTAGAAAAGTGTTAGGTATGTATAAATAGAAATATTCACGTTTTTAGAGTGGTATACTGTTGAGAAAATTTTAGGCGTGGCTAATAGATTGAGAGCAAGAGATAGTAACAGCTTTAAATAATTTTTGAAAGGCGTACAGATGTAATAATACACCTTTTAATATATAGGAAAGTTTTTTTTAAAACTTAAATTTAGTGCAGTATTATTTGTATTTCTTCGCAGACACTTTGTAGGTCAAACCTTAGCATCAGATAAACCTGACAGGCGGAGATGTCTTACGGCCGAGTCTGGAGCCGGCATGGTTCCAACATGATGACGGTTGGATTTTGTGTGTTGTAGCGCAGATGGCATCTCTTTGTCACAGAGACCGTTCTTACCGTTCATGCCCTTTGTAACTCTCGGGTCGTGCTCGCTGACTTGTGGGTAGCCATTGACTTGGGGGTGGCCGTTTGCCGGCGAGTGGCCGTTGACGGCATCACTAGAAGCCATGCCATTGCACGAGGCCAGCAGGCCGGGCACAGACTCGGGGCGATACTCCTCTAGGATGACGTGTGCGTTGGCGCCCCCGAATCCAAAGTTGTTGATGGATGCCCTCCGCGTCGCGCCTCGCTTGGGCCACGGCCGGACCGTCGTCGGGACCTGCATGTTCCACTCCTCTAGCCTCAGCTTCGGGTTGAGCTCCTCAAAGTTGCTATTCGGGGGCACGACGCCAGCCTCCAGAGCGCACACGACCTTGATGACGCTGGCGAGGCCGCTTGCGGCCTCGGTGTGGCCGATGGCAGACTTGACGGAGCCGAGGAGGAGTGGGTCCGATCCTGGAGGACTCACGGAGGCGATGATGTTGGCGATGGCCATGACCTCGATCGGGTCCCCGGTCGGGGTGCCCGTGCCGTGTGCCTCGACAAAGCCCGTCTCGCCGGGATCCAGCCTGCAGCTCCGGTAGCATGCGGCCATGAGGCAAGTGGATTAGCGCCGGTGTGTGGAGCGGGCCAAAGTGTTCATATGAGGACCCGGAGGCCGAAACTGGGGTCCGGCGGCGCGAACTCGGCATCGGTACCCGGTACACGATCGATGGGTGCAACCACCAAGTCAACCCATCACCACGTCGCGTTGACTACCCAACTGCAATTGCAATTGCTCCCAGGCCTGCGGGCCTAGATCGCGGTCAATTAACCATAGCCCCGGTATCTTCCGGCACTATCATCAAAACGCTCTCCCGTCTATCCCGGAATCCCAACAAGAACATGTCCCTGTCTACTTTACCTGTCTTATGTCTGGTGCTACCAGGCAAGGCTTGTGTACATCTTCGATTCCAAGCAGAGAATGGTCATGTTCCATTATTCAAGTGCTTAAGTTATGTCTGCCCGGATGTAACTATGATGGATAATTAATGACTGGCAAAGACTCGGCCATTGTCCTCACGCTCCTTGGCAGAGCTACTGTTCCGCGTGCAATACGTCGAGAGAGAAAATTCCCAAACAAGGCCTCTTGTGTTACAATTGTCTTTTGTGTATTCCCTTATAGTCAAGTAGGTTAGACGTATTTTCTGATCCTTTATCTCCCATCACCCACGTCACAGGAAAATATCGACCAGCTCGGCCAGCTCGGCCAGCTCGGCCAGCCCGGTCAGCCCGATGGATCCACCGGGTCCACCAGGATGGATCCACTAGATCCACCAGGATGGATCCACTAGATCCACCAGTCGGCCTAACAGTTGGCCCAATACTTGCTCCACCTGGCGCCAGCCTATAAGGCCTGGCGCTGCTAGCTGTAGCTCTAGCTTAGAAGAATCAACGAATCCATCACCTATCTTAACCGCGTCAACCCAAGTCAAGATCATAGCCAGTTCGGGTTCGAGTATATATAAGTCCCTATTTATATATGTTATATATGGTATATAGTACTTCTAGTGGAACTCGTTGTGTAGAGACTTATTACGTTTGTTTCAGCTAGGAATATGAGTCAGATCTAAGACCTTAGAAGAAATATAAATAATACTGCACTAAATTTAAGTTTTTAAAAAAAAACCTTCTCTACATGTAAAAAGGTGTATTGTTGCATCTGTCTCTGTACGCCTTTTAAAAACTATTTAAAGCTATATCTATAGCTCTTAATTTTCTAGCTTTACCTCTAAACACGCTAATATTCCTATCTATATTTACCTTATCTTTCTCTAACAGCAGCATACTTCTCTAAACACCTATCACCTAATACTTTTCCAGCAACATACTACTTTTCTAGCAACATCCTACTTTTCTAGCAACATACTGCTATAAGAACCTCAGCATGAAGCTTTCAATCTACATGGTTTCTGCTGTATTAGCCACTGTTGCAACAGCCAAAGAATGCACAACCTCAAGTGGAGTAGGAGAGTGTGGAGCAGGTCACATTTGCATTGTTACCCTAAGTCGAAACAGTGAAGACTGCCCTGACAAGGGAGTCTGCATGAGTCCATCTGGAGTAGGAGAGTGTAGTGGAGCAGGTTCTATTTGCCTTGTTACCCTACCTCTCACCAGTCGTGACTGCCCATAAACACTGTCTGGTGACAAGGGCAGTTATTAAAGGAGGCAATATAGGTAGCAGTTAACAGGCAGACCCTTTGTAGGTCAAACCTTAGCATCTCAGACTATCTCAAAGTACTGACCTACCTCCTCTTAAGTCACTTATGTCCCTACACCACTAACTTTAAATCCTTAACTTTAAGTTAATAAAAAGAGAAAAATAAAGCTTTTATAATAGTATATACTATAGCCTAATTGTCTTTAACTAGAGGAAGTGCCTCTAGGGGTAAATTTCTCTAAAAGTTAATTTATGCTACTATATTCTAGATGCACTTCAAGCTTATAGAGATATTACTATTTTCTTGGTTTTTTTTTTCTTTACAAAAGGATAAGCTGGTCTGTGCGTAGGTCTGTGCAGAATAAGCGAGAGACTTCAAGAGGTACTTTAATAACTCAAATACTGCCCCGCAAAGTGTCTGCCTGTTAACTGCTCCTACAATATGCTGGTGGTAGGCATAGACAAAATCAATTAGGCCAAAAACCTTAAAAAACTTCCCTATATATAAAGAGGTGTATTATTACATCTGTATACCCTTTAGAAATTATTTAAATCTGTATCTCCAGCTCACAATTTTTAAATTACACCTAAGCCTTTCTCAACAGTATACTGCTCTAAAAACGTTAATATTTCTATCCATATACACCTAATCTTTCTCCAGCAGTATACTTCTCTAAACACCTATCACCCAATACTTTTCCAGCAACATACTACTTTTCTAGCAACATACTGCTCTAAGAACCTCAGCATGAAGCTCTTAATCTACATGGTTTCTGCTGTATTAGCCACTGTTGCAACAGCCAAAAGCTGCACAACCGAATTTGGAACAGGAGAGTGTGCTGCAGGAGGTTCTATTTGCGTTGTTACCCAACCTCTCACTAGTAACGACTGCCCTGGAGGCGTAGTACGTGCCTGCACGACCTCATCTGGTGTTGGAGAGTGTAGTGGAGCAGGTTCTATTTGCCTTGTTACCAAGCCTCTCGCCGGTGGTGGCTGTTGAAGTGCATGGATACGGCGGTCAATTGCAACGATATCCCTGTTCAATTGGGCGTATATTGATGATGTATCTATGGCGAATTCGCCATGGTTGTAGCCTTGAATTCGTGGCCTTTTAACCAATGTATTTGTCATGTAAATTGCCACTTTTAAGTAGGGGAATCCATCTAGCTAATAATAGCAACATTTACCCCACTTTCGCCCATTGCCAATTGCCACACTTTAACAGTAACTGCCCATAAACACTGTCTGGTGACACAGGCGGTCGTTAAAGGAGGCAATATGCTGGTGGCAGGTACAGAGGAGCCTGTCAATAGTCCCTGCAGAAAATGCCAAGACTAGAAGTGGAGAATTCTAGCCTCAGTACTTAGAAGTACACTCTTATTAGACTTTTATTAGACATATATAGATTATAAGAGTACTACAGCAGCCCAAGATCGATTCCTAGAGGTCCTTTCAGGGGCAGGATAATAATCATGTGATTAAAGATGTAGCTTGCTGTACTAATACTGTTAGCTAGGTAATAGTGCTTATAGCGCCTTAGTATTTTCTACAGGGACTATTAATAGGCTCCTCTATATAAACCTTAAAATTAATTAGGCTGAAAACCTTAAAAAACTTCCCTATATATAAAAATATATAATAATTATTGCATCTATAGGCCTTTTAAAAACTATTTAAAGCTATATCTCTCTTACCTAGAACTCTTTTAACAGAAGACCAACCTATAAACGTTACTATCTCTATTTATATACTCCTAATCTTTCTCTAACAGCAGTATACTTCTAAACACCTATTAACCAATACTTTTCTAACACTTTTCTAACAGCAACATACTACTCTAAGAACCTTAACATAAAGCTTTTAATCTATATAGTTTCTGCTATATTAGCTACTGCTGCAACAGCCAAAGAATGCATAACTGAACAAGGAGTAGGAGAGTGTAGTGGAGCAGGTGATATTTGCCTTGTTACCCTAGTTCGAAACAGTGCAGACTGCCCTGACAAGGGAGTCTGCATGACTGGACTCTTTTGCTTTTTTGTTAACTTAGGAGTTGAGGATTTAAAGTTGGGGACAGCAGTGTGGACAACAGAAGTGACTTAAGAGGAGGTGGGTCAGTACTTTGAGATGGTCTGAAATGCTAAGGTTTGACCCACAAAGTGTCTGCCTGTTAACCGCTACCATTACGACAGCCTTGAAGTGATGTTCCTGGGACCCCTCTCAAATGTTGTAAAAATCACTCCCTCTGCCACATGGCCAGGCACAACGGGCGTGCAATCTCACTAGGGCTTGGCACAGTTGGAATAATAGATTGTTGCTCGGTCACCCCGAATCTGAGTGATATCATCGCCGTATTCAAAGCCACAACATCAGCTACCTTTCAACTCCCTCAGAGTTGCCTGCGTAGTGGCGCGGGCTTCGGTCTTAACCCAATCAACTTTCCCTACGTTCAGTAGGACACAACGAAGTGGCGAAAATGAATTGATGAGGTTGGTTCATGGCATCTACACTATTTGCCCGAAGATGATGGGTGGCGTTACTTGTGACAGTTCAGCAATGGCTGTTGCACAGCAATTATTATGGAACAGCCGCTAGCGAATGGAAGGAGGTGTCGAACCACAACGAGGTCTTAATGTGGAAAAGATCTGGCGGCGCCAGAGATGAATCACCAGATCTCGCAACTATCATTGGGTGGCGTCGCTGCAGGATGCCGATCGAGAAGGGCTCAGAAGGGACTAAGTGCCAGGGTGCGGCAAGGAGATGCCTTTGATCACAGGGGTCCGCAATCCTTCGCCCCCAACGCCGCGTTGAATAGGACTGATCATTGCTACGACCCTTTTGAAGGGTGAACTCTTCCGTAAGTTCATTGGCGGCAGCTCTCCATGACGATGCACTTCCCTTTATCTTTCATGCAACTTGCTGCTGTTTTGTTAAGGCTCTTTTGGTCATTCGCGGTCTTGATCATGACTTGGTCGGCCATGTCCGAGAGCATCCTCTAAGCCATCACAAGTGTTCGTGACAACGACAATTGGTTCATGGCGAACTGCCAATTGCTAAATGTCACAGGCATGCGTGTGGAGTTTATAGGGGCTTAGCAAAACACCGAAGTCCCCCGTTATTGTCGTTCATTGCCCATTCAACCTCGAGTCTGCTCACACCAGTCAGCCTGGGGTCTTTGGGCGTAACTGAATGTCATCCTCTCGTGACCCCACTCCCCTTCTTCTCCCCTGAGCCCCCAACTTAAATCACTGCAGAAGATTCCAGGTACCAACATAAAACACAAGATGTACGGCCATTGGCCAAGTGGGAATACAAAAAGCTAAGAGCTACTAACTATGGCTACTCAATGCTAGCGTCAAGGTCAAAGTACGCCCCAGACACACTGCATGCCCTCGCGACCTCCGGCTTATACTTATCGTTGCCTGCCCAATAGCTTTTTACACTTAATCTTGTGTCTTCACAGCCCCAGCAGGTATAGCTGACTTCTTGCACGGGCTGTAGCCTGGAAAAAAAACATGAAAGACATGTCGGGCGTATGCAAAATCCCCTGGCAGGACGCCCATCATTAGGCCTCAACCTACACGTGAGACCACTCTAAAGCGGCAATCCAGTCAATAATATCCCCTCAAGAGCAATAAGGCCCTATCTCCACTTATTTCTCTACACTACGCGCACATAATAAGAATACATAACATAACACTATTTATCTTAATATTATTTTGTATAGTAATACTACTAAAATTAACATTATTAACTATTTAATAATGTCTTTTAATTCTAATACCTCTATAACCTCTAGTATATTTACTAAATCCACTAGAGCTGCCAGAGCTGCCAGAGAAATACAGGACTATATTGAGGTCTACCTAGGCAACCTTGCCGTTGCCTATACCTAGAATTACCTACTAGAGCACTGCAATAATAGTACTATCTAGCTAGATAAGGCTCTAGATACTAGGCCTCTAGGCACTTTTATACCCCTTAAAGTGCTAGTCTAGGCCCTAAAGATCTTAGTGCTACTAGATTCTTTAGTTAACCTCTTCCTCTAATTTATACTAGTTGCCTTTATTACCTAGTAAGTTATATAGACTAATAACTATTTAAAGACCTTTTATAGCCCCTTTAAGTAATACTTATAAATGCCTACCTAGAGAAATACTATAGTTAATAAAATATACCTCTTCTTATTAATTATAATTTATATAGGTTTACACTTAGAATTTTAAATTAATAAATATTAGTTAACTAGGCTATTAGATATTAGCTTTACTTATAGGTTTACTTAGTATATAGCCTAAGATTAGTTTAAACTTCTCTACTACTAACTCTATATCTTTAACCTTTTTAAATTTAACTTTAGCTAGGCTAGCCTAGCTCCTCTAATACCTAACGTATACTAGAGGGTTAACTAATAGTTAGCCTATATCTAAGAAGCTAGAGATCTCTTCTATACGCCTAGATCTAAGGTTACTGTTAATAAGGCTATAGTCTAGTTTATAGGCTAGGCCTAAGAGATAATAACTATCTTAATAAAGCTAATTCTAACTAGCTTTAAAGTATAGATCTTTGCCTAATCTAGGTACTACCTCTAGTAGCTTTAGTATATCTATAGTAAAGGCCTATATAGACTAGTCCCTTAGGTCTAGCGCTAAGTTAAGGCTAACTAGGCTATATAGGTAGCCTAGTTAACCTTAACTTAATAAGTAGTAATAACCTTTATTAGCCTTATATAGCTAGTAACCTACTATATTTATCTAGATAACTTTTTTTTATTTATATAGCTTTTTTAGGCCCTCTAGAAGCTTAGTATTAGAGCTTCTAGTACTTACTAAAGAAATAGTAGGATAGATTTAGCCTTTATAGCTAAAAAGAATATAGAGGGCTAAGGTATTCTTTAGGGTACTATTTATAGTATTTTTATATTAGATAGGTTAATATATATAATAAATCTTCTTTATTATATATTACTTTTACTAATTAGTTTATAGTAATATAGGTTAACTAGTTTAGCTAGAAAAATAATACCTTTATACTCTTCTTTATAACTATCTTCTAGGCCTCTTTAGAGGAGAAGGTTATTTATTACTAGTGCTAACTAACTAGAGATACTTTTACTAAGTAGGCTACCTAGTGTCTCTTTAGCCTAGAGGCCTAGATAAATCTACTAGTGCTTAGGTTAATTAACTAATATAACTACTATATAAATAGTATAGATATTAGTAACTAGATAAAGGCCTATTATTAATAGGAGTACCTTATTTATTAAGGGGGCTAGTAAGCCTTTACCTAGGAGTTTTTTTTACTAGTTATACTAATAAATACCTTTATACTATAGTACCTTAGTAACCTTAACTAGACCTTTATTAGAAACTAGTACCTATAGTAAAAGACTATTACTACCTAGCTTATTTAGCACTTTATAATATTAGCTTAAGGTTAACTAAAAGCTTAGCCTAAGTACCCTATAGATAGGTATAATAGTCTAGTTCTATAGTAAGACTATATAGAAGGGTTAAGAGAAAAGTATAGGCCTTATGCCTACTGTAGTAGAGTAAAGTTATAAGACTATAGGGTAGCCCTAGGTAAGATATCTAGGAATAGTGTTACTTAGCAAAAAAAGTCTTGTTGTAGTTGCTTAACTTGTAATATAGCTCTTTGTAAAGAGGGAAATTGCTAGTACCTCTGGCATAGGCAAAAATAGGCGTAAATAGAGGTACTATATATATTACGACCTTTGCGGGGTCACTATTAGTGCCCACAGTGGAGATGGGGCCTTATCGCTCTTGAGGGGATATGCCAGGCATGTTACAGGAAAACATCGACCAGCTCGGCCAGCCCGGCCAGCCCGATGGATCCACTGGGTCCACCAGGTTGGATCCACTAAATCCACCAGTCGGCCTGACAGTTGGCCCGATAGTTGCTCCACCCGGCGCCAGCCTGTAAGGCCTGGCGCTGCTAGCTGTAGCTCTAGCTTTGAAGAATCAGCGAATCCATTACCTACCTATCTTTACCGTGTTAACCCAAGTCAAGATACTAGCCAGTTCAGGTTCATGTAGATATAAGTCCCTTCTACAATATATGTATATGTTAGTTATAGTATTTCTAGTGGAACTTGTTGTGTAGAGACTTATTACTCTCGTTTCAGCTAGGGGGAATATGAGTCAGGTCCGAAACCTTAGAAGATATATAAATGTTACAATACTATATCTAAGCTTTTTTCAAAAAAAGCTTAAAAAAGCTTCCCTGTACATAAGAAGGTATGATATTTCTTATATCTATAGTCCTTCTAAAAACTATTTAAAGCTATATCTCTTACTTTTTATTTTTATGTAATTCAAACTTCACGTCTCAATACACTGCTCTAAGAACGTCAATATCCATATTTATATACACCGAATCTTTCTCCAGCAGCATACTTCTCATCACCTAATACTTTCCAACAGCCATATACTGCTCCAAGACTCTCAGCATGAAGCTTTCAATCTACATGGTTTTTGCTGTAGTAGCCGCTGTTGCTACAGCCAAAAGCTGCTCAACCCCAGATGGACCAGGAGAGTGTCTTGAAAACGATTTTTGCCAGGTTACTCTGGTTAGATACAGTGGATCCTGCCCTGATAGCGCAGAATGTTCAACCTCAGATGGAATAGGAAGTTGTAGTGGAGCAGGTTCTGTTTGCCTTGTTAACAAAGGTTCCCCTAGTAATGACTGCGTAAACGGTGTCTAGTGAAAGGATATTAGTGCCCTGGGTCAATAGGAGGGATGCCAGGGATAGATTCAGGCAATTAGTCAGCTAGACTTTAGTAATACCTTAGGTACTAGACATACATATAAAAGCATCCAAGCTAGAACACCTAGTTAGAAGGCTAAGTTGAATTCTAATAATATAACTACTAAATATAGTAGAAGTTGTCAGGATATTCGTTACCGGCGGAGGGTGGAGCCAATCCAAGGTCACATGACTAACCTCAGCAGCTTACTCACTTACACCTCCACAAATATCCACAGTAACTACTAACTTCAAACTTCTTCTTAATTAACCTTTATACCTCTTTTATATTAATAGTAATATACACTATTTACTACCTCTAGTTAACTAGCCTATAATACTAACACTAATTAGTAGTTAACTTTATAGTTACTACTACTATAGATTAGTAAGAATCTTAGAAGAGGCTTATAATATTTCCCTTATTACTATAACTTACTAAAGATAATAAAGTACTACCTAACTTAATAATTATTAATAACTAAAATCTTATAATATTTAGTAAATAACCTTTAAGCCTATATTTATTATATAACTTATTAACTTATTAACTTTATTATTTTTAAAGAAGTCTTCTTTTTACTTATAACTTACTTATTAATATTTTTAACTTAACCTAGTATAACTACTTATACTTATACTTATACCTAAGATTTCCTTAAGTATTATTATTTTCTTATATTTTTAATCTTTTTTACCTTAAGTAAAGTTTTTATTTAAGTAAAAGTTTTTTATTTATAAAGTAATAGCCTATATAAGATTATAAGTAAATAAGTTTTAATTAGTAAGACTAGTAAAGTATAGTTTATATAAGATTTACTTATTAAGGCTATTTTTAATATAATAAAAGTAAAATAAATAGTACCTAAAGTAAGCTTTTTTACTTATAACTATCTATATTTATTATTATTATAGCCTATAAAAGGTAGTTACTACTAATAATAAGCTATTTACTTCTAGTATTACTACTAGTAGTAGGCTACTATAAGTAACTACTAGCTACTTCTAGTATTACTATAAAGGTAGATTACTATAAGTAATAACTATAGTATTACTTTTTTTTAAGTAATAAGTAGTTAAGGCCTATATAACTTTGCTTTTTATACTCTTTAACTTTTTTTTTCTTTTAAGGTATAATTTCTATATATACTTTTTTTCTTTTTTAAGAAAAAAGTTAATACTACTATATAATAATTTTATATATACCTATATTAAAAAAAAGTTAACTTTACTTTACTTTTAACTTACTTAATAACTTTAGTAATAGTTACTTTTTACTATTATTACTTTATTTATTTATATTTTATTATATTTTTTTTCTTTTATTTATTTATTTTATTATATTATTTATTATTTATTTATCTAGTTTATTATTATTTATACTACTAGTAGTAATCCTTGTAATAAATAGATTTACTTTAACCTTATAAGGTAAAAGTAAGTACTATATTTAAAAGGTTATTAGGCTAATAAAGGGTAATAATAGTAAAAGAGTAGCCTAAGAAAAAGAAGGTATAATATATTTACCTAAAGTATATAAAGGACCTATACTTATCCTAGAGACCTACTAAGGCTTTATTACTAGTTAATTATAAGGTACTATTAACCTATTAATATTATCTTTAATAGCTATAAAGGCTTAGTAAAGTATAATATATTAAGTACTATTATTATCTATAGAATAGTTTATTATAGTAAAATAAGAATAACTAGGTAAACACTTAGAGGTATACTAATAAGAACTTTAATAAGTAAAAACTAAACTACTTTAAAGAAGCTAATCCTAAGGTAATTAAAGAGTTTAGAGACTACCTTATATATAAAGGAGTCTAGGTATTTATAGCTAAGGTACCTAAGGTCTATAAATAAGTTTATAATACCTTAAAGTAAATAAACCTAGGGCATAGACCTAGGAGAAAGTTAATAGTTATAAAAGTAAAAATAAAGACTTTTATATAAAGGTAAAAGATCTAAAGTTTATAAAAGATATTATAGACCTACTACTAGAACTATTACTACTATATATTTACCTAAGCTTACTATTAATTAAGAATCCTTTATAACCTAGCTATATAGAGAATACTAGCCCTTAATAACTTATTAACTTAGCCTTATTATATAATAACCTAGACTTTATTCTTTTACTACTTAGCTTATCTTTTTTTATTATAACTAAGTAGTTAACCTAATATTACTTTTCTTTTATTATAACTAAGTAGTTAACTTAATATTACTATTACTTTTACTTACTTTTTATTAACTTATAGACCTTAGTAAGCTATACTTTAATAAGATAAAGTATAGTAAAAGGGTATATAAGTTACTTAAGTTAAAGCTTACTATCTTTTATAACTATTACTTTAAAACTAGAATCTAATATAAGTACTTTACTAGCGCTTTCTTTATAATACTATAAGAGGTAGCTATAGAGTATTATACTAACTACTTTTATAAGCTACTACTTAACTTTACTATAATAGTAATAAAAGTAAAAGGTAACTTTAAAACTAAAAAACCTACTAGGCTACCTTATAAAGCTATAATAAACTAACCTTATAAAAGTTATTACTAAAAACCTTAATAAAGTAAAGCTAAATACTAGAGTTACTTATTAAGAAAGTTAATACTTTATAAGAACTACTATAAGGGTAAGTATACTAACTAATATAGCCCTTTATAACTAACTACTTAACTTTACTAAAAGTAAAGAATACTCTTTTACTTCTTTAACCTAGTAGCTACCTTTACTAGTATATATAGTTAACTATAGTTAGTAATTAGTAATATAATATAATTTAAGTAGCTTACTTATTATATATAACTAATAAAGTAAAAAATAATACTAGACTAACTATATATATAATAGTTAAAGAGGTTATAGTAGTTTAACTAATATAGCTATAGTAGCTATAGCTAGTAGTATAACTTTTACTAGTAAGTACCTCTTTTACTTTTATTATTACCTTAAAAGAAGTACTATATATATAGTAAGCCTAACTATTAGTTAATAAAGTACTTAAGGATAAAATAATAGGTATACTATAAGTATAAAGAGTAGTACCTTACTAACTTTTTACTAAAGTATTTAATTACTTTATAACTAACTTTAAAAGGTATAAACCTTTTGCCTTTAATAAAGAAAAATACCTATATAAAGAGTAATAAAGATAATAATATAAGATTAATATTTTTTATATTTACTTATTCTTTAGTACTACTATAATAAATAGGCCTACTATTTTCTTATTATATATAACTAGTTAACTAGTTACTTTTTTATAAAAGATAATATATATAGTAATAGTAATAATAAGGTTACTAATATAGAGGTCTTTACCTTTAATAAGTAATATTTAGTAATAACTTTTATAGTATTATACTTAACTTTAGTGTAGTAGAATACTTAATAGCTAGGTATAAGTAATACTATACCTTTACTACTAAATAGGTAGTAAGTTACCTATAATACCTTATAAGCTAGCTAAGTAAAAATCTACTTTAGTAGTAGTAATTATTTTATTTAAAGGTACTATTAAAGTATTAATACTAGTAAGTACTTTAACCTTTTATATAATACTATAAATACTTTTTTTTACTTTACCTTAAGAATATAGATCTCTATAGTATTAATTTAATAACTTACTAATAAGTTAATCTAAGGTAATAATATAGTACTTATTATATAAAATAAGGCTACTTATAAATACTATTAATTAACCTAATATAGTATTACCTAGTATTACCTTATAAATATTAAGCTATAAAGATTTATTATTACTTTAGCTATTTATTTATTTAATACTTTACTATATACTTTAATAGTTAGGTAATAATTAAGATTATAGCCTAGAGTAAATAACTAAGATCTACTACTATTACTAAATAAATTTAAAGCACTAGGTTACTTTAAGTTTACTTTATAAAATAATAACTATAACTTAACTATAAAGTTAATTAATATATTTACTTATAGTAACTACTAGCTTATATATTATTAATACTATAACCTTTTTTAGGTAGCCTATTTCTTACTAATATTACTATAAGTACACTTAAAGGCCTTATAAATATATTAGATTAATCTACCTTAGACTACTAGACTAGATTATTACTAATACTAGCTAAACTTTATACTAGTAAATTTAAGTAGTCTACTAGATTACTTTATATTAATATTAAAGAAATACTAGTTAAAGCCTATAATAGTATTAGTAAGTTAAATAGTACTATATACCTTAAGTAAGTATATAATATTCTATATAGTAAAGAGATAAAGCTAAAGATAGCCTTTAATTAGCTATTAAAGTAGTTAATAATACTACTAGTCTAAATAGCTTATACTTATACTATTAGTCTTTAGTGCTACTTATAAGTCTTTAACTTATTACTACTTTGCCTACTTTAACTAAAAAACTAAAATAGTAAAAAAGATAATAAGGCTATATACTAAATCTATATAAGAAAGTAAG